ATCTGTAATATAATGACAAACCAACTCAGTGAAACTTCAAAGGATGTACAGTATCTCACAAAAGTGAGTACACCCCTCACATTTTTGTAAATATTTCTTTTCATGTGACACTGCTCCAATGTAAAGTAGTGAGCGTACAGCTTGTATAACAGTGTAAAGTAGTGAGGGTGCAGCTTGTATAACAGTGTAAAGTAGTGAGCATACAGCTTGTATAACAGTTTAAAGTAGTGAGCGTACAGCTTGTATAACAGTGTAAAGTAGTGAGGGTGCAGCTTGTATAACAGTGTAAAGTAGTGAGCGTACAGCTTGTATAACAGTTTAAAGTAGTGAGCGTACAGCTTGTATAACAGTTTAAAGTAGTGAGCGTACAGCTTGTATAACAGTGTAAAGTAGTGAGCGTGCAGCTTGTATAACAGTGTAAAGTAGTGAGCGTGCAGCTTGTATAACTGTGTAAAGTAGTGAGGGTACAGCTTGTATAACAGTGTAAAGTAGTGCAGGTACAGCTTGTATAACAGTGTAAAGTAGTGAGCGTACAGCTTGTATAACAGTGTAAAGTAGTGAGGGTACAGCTTGTATAACAATGTAAAGTAGTGAGTGTACAGCTTGTATAACAGCGTAAAGTAGTGCGGGTACAGCTTGTATAACAGCGTAAAGTAGTGAGTGTACAGCTTGTATAACAGTGTAAAGTAGTGAGTGTACAGGTTGTATAACAGTGTAAAGTAGTGAGTGTACAGTGAGCATACAGCTTGTATAACAGTGTAAAGTAGTGAGCGTACAGCTTGTATAACAGTTTAAAGTAGTGAGCGTACAGCTTGTATAACAGTGTAAAGTAGTGAGCTTACAGCTTGTATAACAGTGTAAAGTAGTGAGCGTACAGCTTGTATAACAGTGTAAAGTAGTGAGGGTGCAGCTTGTATAACAGTGTAAAGTAGTGAGCGTACAGCTTGTATAACAGTTTAAAGTAGTGAGCGTACAGCTTGTATAACAGTTTAAAGTAGTGAGCGTACAGCTTGTATAACAGTGTAAAGTAGTGAGCGTGCAGCTTGTATAACAGTGTAAAGTAGTGAGGGTACAGCTTGTATAACAGTGTAAAGTAGTGCGGGTACAGCTTGTATAACAGTGTAAAGTAGTGAGTGTACAGCTTGTATAACAGTGTAAAGTAGTGAGTGTACAGCTTGTATAATAGTGTAAAGTAGTGAGTGTACAGTGAGCATACAGCTTGTATAACAGTGTAAAGTAGTGAGCGTACAGCTTGTATAACAGTGTAAAGTAGTGAGCGTGCAGCTTGTATAACAGTGTAAAGTAGTGAGCGTGCAGCTTGTATAACCGTGTAAAGTAGTGAGCGTACAGCTTGTATAACAGTGTAAAGTAGTGAGCGTACAGCTTGTATAACAGTGTAAAATAGTGCGGGTACAGCTTGTATAACAGTGTAAAGTTGTGCGGGTACAGCTTGTATAACTGTGTAAAGTAGTGAGTGTACAGCTTGTATAACAGTGTAAAGTAGTGAGCGTACAGCTTGTATAACAGTGTAAAGTAGTGAGTGTACAGTGATCATACAGCTTGTATAACAGTGTAAAGTAGTGAGCGTACAGCTTATATAACAGTGTAAAGTAGTGAGCGTACAGCTTGTATAACAGTGTAAAGTAGTGAGCGTACAGCTTGTATAACAGTGTAAAGTAGTGAGTGTACAGCTTGTATAACAGTGTAAAGTAGTGAGTGTACAGCTTGTATAACAGTGTAAAGTAGTGAGTGTACAGTGAGCATACAGCTTGTATAACAGTGTAAAGTAGTGAGCGTACAGCTTGTATAACAGTGTAAAGTAGTGAGCGTACAGCTTGTATAACAGTGTAAAGTAGTGAGCGTGCAGCTTGTATAACAGTGTAAAGTAGTGAGCGTGCAGCTTGTATAACAGTGTAAAGTAGTGAGCGTACAGCTTGTATAACAGTGTAAAGAAGTGAGCGTACAGCTTGTATAACAGTGTAAAGTAGTGAGCGTGCAGCTTGTATAACTGTGTAAAGTAGTGAGCGTACAGCTTGTATAACAGTGTAAAGTAGTGAGCGTACAGCTTGTATAACAGTGTATAGTAGTGAGGGTACAGCTTGTATAACAGTGTAAAGTAGCGAGCGTGCAGCTTGTATAACAGTGTAAAGTAGTGAGCGTACAGCTTGTATAACAGTGTAAAGTAGTGAGGGTACAGCTTGTATAACAGTGTAAAGTAGTGAGCATGCAGCTTGTATTAGCCATTAATGTCTAAACCGTTGGCAACAAAAGTGAGGACACCTCTAAGTGAAAATGTCCAAATGGGGCCCAATTAGCCATTTTCCCTCCCCGGAGTCATGTGAGTTACAAGGTCTCAGGTGTGAATGGGGAGCAGGTGTGTTAAATTTGGTGTTCTCGCTCTCACACTCCCTCATACTGGTCACTGGAAGATCAACATGGCACCTCATGGCAAAGAACTTTGAGAATCTGAAAAAAAATTGTTGCTCTACATAAAGATGGCCGAGGCTGTAAGAAGACTGCCAAGACCCTGAAACTGAGCTGCAGCACGGCAGCAAAGACCATACAGCTGTAACCCTAACCCCCCCATACATGAAGAGACAGAAAATGCACAATAAAACAACAGAAACATTTCCTTCCATTTTCAATTTCTTTAAGCAGTCTGACCCACAACAAATCCAAGAAAAACCAACAAATGCACATTATTCACAGATACACTGTGGATATTTTGAGAATGTGTTGTCCAATAGTTAAAATAAGGATCATTCAGAGTTCAGGGAGCAGCTTTTAGCTTTTAGGAGGCGATCTCAGAATGAGGGAGTGACTGGACCTGCAATAAGGGATGCAATTAAACTTTTCAAATTTGCCAATTAATACAACATTTTATCGTGTAGTAGCCTGTATACACACATTTATTTCTATTTTGCACTTGATTTATTTAAACTTTACAGTGATAAAGCAGATAAAGTAGACATCAGTACAGTAAAGTAAAAAAAAAAAAGTCCCCCAAACAGCTGTCAATATCAAACAAAAAATAATGCATTTAATTTCAACTGTAACAATCATCAGAAGTGAACCATTCAAAAGTAGTTTGTCACAATTGCATCCGTTGTTGCAGGTCCAGTCAGAAATAGAGCAAACAAAAAGGGGTGATGATGGTGCAATGGATAAGATGCCTGCCTTTGGTGTGAGAGACCTGGGTTCAATCCCACATTATGTCCCTGAGTAAGACACTTAACTTCTCATTGGTCCAGAGGTGTATGACCTCTGGCGTGTACAGCAATTGTACATTGCTTTTGATAAAAGTGTTGGCTGAATGTAATGATGGGCATTGCAGTCATATTTTTGTGGGTCCCAGCACATATTGGCATCAAAGGAAACAAAATGGCAGATAAATACATCGATGTGGCAGTCAGTAAGACAGAAATCAAGAGCGTTATTAAACAGAGAGAAGGAAAAGGTGGCAAAAGTTATGGTAGGAAGAGAGGAAAGGGGCGGTGGTTTTACAAAAATCAGAAGAGAGTGGGAGAAAAGAGATGTGCAGGAACAGGAGAGAAGAGACAATTCTATCAAGACACTGGATTAAACAGCACTTTATTCACAGTAGGTAAACAGGTAATAAAGAATAGTCTTCACTATACACAAGGTGTCCCTCAGTGAAAACTGTAAATGTTAATATACGGAACTTTAGACAGATTCGTACATCATTAACGGATACAGCAGCGATTACATTCCTGCACTCTGATACTGGCTCATATTGAGTACTGTATCACAAGTTGGTCCTATACGAGTCATGCTGCTATTGGGCCAATCGAAGTATGCTACAAAAGAGCATTGAAAATATTAGACAAGAAACCTTCGTCATATCACCATTGTCAAATTTTAGATAAATACAAGTTTTTAAATTTTGCTAATTTCAAATTATTTAAATCAGCCTGTCTAATCTATAAGGTCATACATGGTTTGGCGCCTCCACCACTGAGTGATTTTATTAAACAAAAGTCTAGCAGTGTTGCCGGGACTCGAGTGACCAGAGCCACTATGAGAGGTGATTGTGACTTGGCGTTTAGGCGAACTGCCTTTTCACAGAACGTTCTGTCATATCAGGGAGTGAGCTTCTGGAATAGTATTCCACTGTCAGTGAGGGGAAGCACAAGTCTTCCTACCTTTAGGAGTCGTTTAAAAGTGTGGCTGAGGGACACACAAACATGTGATCATGTTTAGTTAATTATTATATATCAGACATAAAACAGAGTTAGTGCATTATTAAAAAGGGATAAGGGATTTCAGTGTAAAATGGGTCAGTGCAATATCAGGTTAGACAGGGCATGTGCAAAATTGTGGCTTGTGTAATATAGTCGATGCTTTGCTATTTTTATATGTCCTTTGTTTTCCACTCTTGTTGTTACTGTCTGTTCTGACATGATGTGATCACTGTTTTTGTCCTTGTTTCTCTGTATATAGCCTGTGTATAGTGTATTTGTATGTATTTATTAATTTGTGTGTAACATCAACCTGTCAGGGGGTCTGCAGATGGAAATTAGCCTAAGGCAACAATCTGGCATATTTACATTTGTGAAAATGTTCATTAATATGTATTTTCCCTTTTTGTTTTTCGAAAAAACTACAAGAGACAGTCCGGCACATCATGGTACACTGTCAGAAGTATGAGGGGAACAAGAGGGAAATGATCCCAAACCTTAGAATGGAAAGAATACACTTGATTTATAGATAATCTTCTATAAAGAACTCAAGAGGTAAGTGCTATGGGATTATTTAGCATTATCTTAGAGTAATCAATATGATTGAGAAGATGTGAGGCTGTTTTTCTTTGTTCTGTTTTAAACTAATTACCAGTCGTTGTGATCCACGCTCCACACCAGCTGGTGGCGGTAATGCACCAACCCGCTGTGTGCTAACCGCCAACATCATTCAATAAAGAAGAAGAAGAAGACAAAGGGTGACGTCACGGGGCGGAAGTGATGTACTTGTTGGTCACCGTCGGGTTCGCTGAAAGACCCAACCTGAAGCTGAACCTGAAGCGAAACGAAACTTGGTGTTACTGGCTCCCAGATAGAGCTCTGCAGTATGGAGGTAGGTTCCATAGACTTCCAAATCAAACTACTTAGGGTTAGGGTTAGGGTTAGCTAGTATCAACAGATTTTACTGTCGGTGTGTTTGTTTTTCTCAAAAACACGGAGCACATTGCGGCAGTTGATCTCTCTAACGTTATTTGATTCAGGCACAGAAAACAAACAGTCCACATTTTACAGCTTGGATTCCAGACGGGGAGAAGAAGGAAGATTTAATTGGACGTTAATATTTGTAACCCACAGAAAACAATCCACAAATATTTCACTATCTGCAAATGTGTATTGTCATATCCACAAAAATACAGAGTGACTTCTACACAAAAACAGTTTTAGCACGTTTGCAGATTACTTTCTGTCAAATTGTGGGTCATGTTACATTTGGAACTTCCTTTTTACACGTTCTCTTCTGTGCATGTGGTCTCGCACAGACTTCACTCCGTAAAAAAAATGGTAGACTTTAAACGTACGTTACAAGTCAGGTGGATATTGTAGCACGGAGCAGGTAAAGCAGATGTTGGTTTCAGTTGTTTGCTGGGCTGCGGCGCTCACCTGCTGCCGGGATAACAGATCGCAGGTGGAAATGTACGGAAAAAAGACAAGTTCTCAGTCTTTTAGGCGACTTTATAAAACATACTGCTGACGGAGAAATGGAGCAGACAGGGGAGAGAGACCTGAGGTGTGTGTGTCATAGTGGGAAGAGAGAACTCCGAGTGCAACAAAACAATAATAAGAATGTTCGTGTTCAGTAAAGGCTGCTCTCACAGGCTGGAGATTTGTTTTGATGGGGGGGCGGGGTTTACAATCATGATGCCGGTGTTCTGACGATATATGCTGCCTTGTCGAAAAATGCCACCTTATGTGTGCACTTTTCCAATCCCATAAAGTTAACTCTCACAGTATTATGACATCTTCTGTTTTTTGATTATATTGTAACATCATTTCAGGGGCAGCGTCAAATCAAATAATGCTCCCACCACAGAATCATTTTATATTGCACCACTGCTCACTCCCTGTGTACTGTAAGGAGATGGGGAGCATGTTGAAATACTATATTATATACTGTACTATATTATGCCATCTTTATTTAAGATATCAGGGTAGCGTATTCTGATAGACTAATAATGATTTTTTGTTTTGATGTTGATGACGGCATGCACAACAGCAAGGTTGCACAGATTTATGGCCGTGGAAACAGACCGCACTTGTGAGTCATACGCATGCGCAGAACCGCTAAGTAGCACATCTGGATAGGTAGCATAAATCGACAGAACACCGGCTCAACGTTGTGATGTCTGTCAGCCATCGGCGATGGACGTTGGCCCAAGTTTATGGCATTTCACTTGTCTCCTCATTTTGCTTTTCCTCTGGTCAGTTTTTCTTGTTTTCCAGCTCGGACAGACATTAATGTCTGTTTTGCTGCTGAGTTCTTCAGCGCAGGCATAATATGCCTATGCGCTGTCACTGCTGCATCATCGCTGATTGCTAACCTTCAGCTGTCATTTCTTCTTGCAGTTTATCACAGATATCACAGTAATCATTGATGAAGCTTATTACAAAGAAGACCCTGAAGTATTGAAGATTCTTCAGCCTTACAGTAATAAGAGAAAAGATTCCTGCTATGAAGTGAGAGGAACCTTTGAGGAACTGGACAACCTTTCAAAGAAACTTTTAGAACTGAGGCCTGACTCCAGCCCAAACACTCATGGACAAGATGGCCGTGCTTCAACTCCTATCAAACCCGTGGATGTATCTGGAGTTGTTATGGCTTACATTGAGCAAAAATGTGCCAAAGAACTTAACAAAATTCTAGGGAACAGTTTTGTGATTGAAACCCATCCTGACCCCAGAACAGTACACAGTAAACCCAGCAGCACAGTGCAGGTGACCTTCAGACCACGCCAGGTCCCCATAAATCCTGTTCATGGGGACTTTGTCAGACAGCGATTCATCACATTCTACCAGAGAACCGCCTCTGACCTGCAGGTTACGTCTGTCCCTGTGAGTGCACAGGACCACAAAGACCTGCAGAGGAGATTTCCACAGCTCCTCTTCAAAGCCAGCCGCAACAGATGTACAGCGACGGGGCCTTTTGTGCACATTGCTAAATTAAAAGAGTTCCTTTTACAAAATACACAAAGCTCATTCAAGAGTCCGGTGAATAAAGGCCCAGTAGACACTCCAAGCGGCAGAACCTCAGGTCCTGCTAAAGATCCTGAAGATGAGTCATGTCCAATCTGTATGGAACCAATGGTAACAACAGACAAAGAGACTCTGCGGTGCAAGCACTCGTTCTGCAGGAAGTGTCTACAAACAGCTTTTCAATACAAACCTGTATGTCCGACATGTGGAGCGCTATACGGCATTTTGACAGGGACGCAACCTGCTGGAGGCACAATGAAGGCCACTAACAGCTCCTCATCTTTGCCTGGATATGAGAGATATGGAACAATAACCATCCATTATTACATTCCAAGTGGCATCCAAAAGGTAAGATACACTGAACAAGTTCATTTTCACTTTCCACCTTGGAGACCATATTGGAAAAACTCTAAGGAAAACCTTTTCAAATGTGTATTTCATAACACATAAGAAGAAATACATTTGCCACCAGTCCAGAAATAGTGATTTTGCCACATTGTAAAGAGGTTTTAAACAGGTTAACACGACCCGTGCACACTTTATGGTTACATGATTACTGAACGATTTTTAGAACAATAACTAAAACAGAGGAGCACATATTGGCCCAATGGCATCCCGGCATCTGTTCACTGCAGAGGCTCTATCCGCAACCTGGAGGAGAAATTAGTACACATGAGTGTATTATTATAATATAACATTAAATATAAGTTCAGTTAATAGTATACTATTTTACCACTAGTGGAATATTAAAACCAGTTTAACCAGTTAAATCCTGGCTCTACATCGGTCTCTAATTTGTTAAAGCTGAGTACTAACTTGATAATAATCATATTGTTCACTATTTTAAAATTTGCTGGGCAAACTTCGGGGGAGGGGGGGCAGACCAAGCAGACTGTAGTGCAGAGACGAGTGCACACACGCTTTTGTGTTTATGTATTTCACTAATAGAGCAGCCCTCGACAAAACTATACAAACCAGCTAAAACGGTATTAAAGCACAGATAACAATACTAAGGGGGTTAAAATGAGCAAAGAACTGACAGGACTCATTTACCATAGAATTTATAATAGTCCTTAGACTGGAGATATCAGTCCTCAATTTATCTTCCATCTGTAAGAGGATCCCAACACAGCATGAAGGCCCTCAGTCTTCATAAGACTGTGAAATACGCTTGCAGAGAGAAGGTGGAAAGTTGCCCAATATTGCTTCATAAATAAAAACACACAGCACCAATTACTGGAGTCGACACTTAGGCAGAGATGAGCAGCCAAATGTGGAACCCAGAACCCGATGATGAGTGGAAAACCGAACACCACGGAATACTAATGTTTAAGGTAGAAGGTTGTTCATTAGTTATGAATTTTGTTGTCTGGTCAATATGACTCCCATTTTATCCAGCATGGCTCCTCTCCTTTGAGCGATCACCGCACCCGCTGTGGCGCTGGTCCAGTTGTTTGGGCCAGGTGGATTGTGGTCTGCTGCTCAGTAACCCAAAAACCCCGTCGGAAAAAACAGATAAAAAAACAAAAGGGTAGAAAAGTTTGAAGCTGAACTACCGGCTGCTGCTTCTACAAGCGCTGCTGGTTGCCATAGCTGGCTGTCTGTCTGTCTGTCTATCTCTGTCTGTCTATCTATCTATCTAGCTCTGTCTGTCTGTCTGTCTATCTAGCTCTGTCTGTCTATCTAGCTCTGTCTGTCTATCTATATCTGTCTGTCTATCTAGCTCTGTCTGTCTATCTAGCTCTGTCTATCTAGCTCTGTCTGTCTATCTAGCTCTGTCTGTCTGTCTGTCTATCTAGCTCTGTCTGTCTATCTAGCTCTGTCTGTCTGTCTGTCTATCTAGCTCTGTCTGTCTATCTAGCTCTGTCTGTCTATCTAGCTCTGTCTGTCTGTCTGTCTAGCTCTGTCTGTCTGTCTGTCTAGCTCTGTCTGTCTGTCTATCTAGCTCTGTCTGTCTGTCTATCTAGCTCTGTCTGTCTGTGTATCTATCTAGCTCTGTCTGTCTGTGTATCTATCTAGCTCTGTCTGTCTATCTAGCTCTGTCTGTCTGTCTAGCTCTGTCTGTCTATCTAGCTCTGTCTGTCTGTCTATCTGTCTAGCTCTGTCTGTCTGTCTATCTATCTAGCTCTGTCTGTCTAGCTCTGTCTGTCTGTCTGTCTAGCTCTGTCTGTCTGTCTGTCTGTCTAGCTCTGTCTGTCTGTCTAGCTCTGTCTGTCTGTCTGTCTATCTAGCTCTGTCTGTCTATCTAGCTCTGTCTGTCTATCTAGCTCTGTCTGTCTATCTAGCTCTGTCTGTCTGTCTAGCTCTGTCTGTCTGTCTAGCTCTGTCTGTCTGTCTATCTGTCTAGCTCTGTCTGTCTGTCTATCTGTCTAGCTCTGTCTGTCTGTCTATCTATCTAGCTCTGTCTGTCTAGGTCTGTCTGTCTGTCTGTCTAGCTCTGTCTGTCTGTCTGTCTGTCTGTCTGTCTGTCTGTCTGTCTGTCTGTCTGTCTAGCTCTGTCTGTCTGTCTGTCTAGCTCTGTCTGTCTGTCTGTCTAGCTCTGTCTGTCTAGCTCTGTCTGTCTGTCTATCTATCTAGCTCTGTCTGTCTGTCTATCTAGCTCTGTCTGTCTGTCTGTCTAGCTCTGTCTGTCTGTCTGTCTAGCTCTGTCTGTCTGTCTGTCTAGCTCTGTCTGTCTGTCTATCTAGCTCTGTCTGTCTGTCTGTCTAGCTCTGTCTGTCTGTCTGTCTAGCTCTGTCTGTCTGTCTGTCTAGCTCTGTCTGTCTGTCTGTCTAGCTCTGTCTGTCTGTCTAGCTCTGTCTGTCTAGCTCTGTCTGTCTGTCTATCTATCTAGCTCTGTCTGTCTGTCTGTCTAGCTCTGTCTGTCTGTCTATCTAGCTCTGTCTGTCTGTCTGTCTAGCTCTGTCTGTCTAGCTCTGTCTGTCTGTCTATCTATCTAGCTCTGTCTGTCTGTCTGTCTAGCTCTGTCTGTCTGTCTATCTAGCTCTGTCTGTCTGTCTATCTAGCTCTGTCTGTCTGTCTGTCTAGCTCTGTCTGTCTATCTGTCTAGCTCTGTCTATCTGTCTAGCTCTGTCTGTCTGTCTGTCTAGCTCTGTCTGTCTATCTGTCTAGCTCTGTCTATCTATCTAGCTCTGTCTGTCTGTCTGTCTGTCTAGCTCTGTCTGTCTATCTATCTAGCTCTGTCTGTCTATCTATCTAGCTCTGTCTGTCTGTCTGTCTAGCTCTGTCTGTCTGTCTGTCTAGCTCTGTCTGTCTGTCTATCTATCTAGCTCTGTCTGTCTGTCTATCTATCTAGCTCTGTCTGTCTGTCTATCTGTCTAGCTCTGTCTATCTATCTAGCTCTGTCTGTCTATCTATCTAGCTCTGTCTAGCTCTGTCTGTCTATCTAGCTCTGTCTGTCTATCTAGCTCTGTCTGTCTGTCTATCTGTCTAGCTCTGTCTGTCTGTCTAGCTCTGTCTGTCTATCTATCTAGCTCTGTCTGTCTATCTATCTAGCTCTGTCTGTCTATCTATCTAGCTCTGTCTGTCTGTCTATCTATCTAGCTCTGTCTGTCTGTCTATCTATCTAGCTCTGTCTGTCTGTCTATCTGTCTAGCTCTGTCTGTCTGTCTAGCTCTGTCTGTCTATCTAGCTCTGTCTGTCTGTCTATCTATCTAGCTCTGTCTATCTATCTAGCTCTGTCTATCTATCTAGCTCTGTCTATCTATCTAGCTCTGTCTATCTATCTAGCTCTGTCTAGCTCTGTCTGTCTGTCTAGCTCTGTCTATCTATCTAGCTCTGTCTGTCTGTCTGTCTATCTATCTAGCTCTGTCTGTCTGTCTATCTGTCTAGCTCTGTCTATCTATCTAGCTCTGTCTATCTATCTAGCTCTGTCTGTCTGTCTGTCTAGCTCTGTCTGTCTAGCTCTGTCTGTCTGTCTGTCTATCTAGCTCTGTCTGTCTGTCTGTCTATCTAGCTCTGTCTGTCTGTCTGTCTGTCTATCTAGCTCTGTCTGTCTGTCTGTCTGTCTAGCTCTGTCTGTCTGTCTATCTGTCTAGCTCTGTCTATCTATCTATCTGTCTAGCTCTGTCTATCTATCTAGCTCTGTCTATCTATCTAGCTCTGTCTGTCTGTCTGTCTGTCTAGCTCTGTCTGTCTGTCTGTCTATCTAGCTCTGTCTGTCTGTCTGTCTATCTAGCTCTGTCTGTCTGTCTGTCTGTCTAGCTCTGTCTGTCTATCTAAGTTCTTCTCACAGAGGAAGAATGTGGATGGAAAGCTCACACTCCAAGTGGGAGGGGTAGAAAGTAAAATGAAGATTTGTGGGTTGTCCCTTTAATTTTCAATTTCAATTTTATTTATATAGCGCCAAATCACAACAACAGTTATCTCACAGCGCTTTTCATAAAAGAGCAGGTCTAGACTGTACTCTATGATGTGATTTACAGAAGCCCAACAGTTCCCACCAAGAGCAGCACTAGGAGACAGAGGCAAGGAAAAACTTCCTTTTAAGAGGCAGAAACCTCGAGCAGAACCATGGCTCAGGGTGGGCGGGTCTTAGGCATTTACCAGTCCTAAGAAACTGTGTTGCCCCTGCTGCCATATAAGTATTTTCTTCAAGTGGCCATTTTTATTTTGTTATTTTTATGTTTTATTTTGACGGGTTAGAACAACAGGATTCCCACATTTATAAGTTTTTGATGTAAGTATGTTATGTGCTTCTTCTAAAATGTAATTGGTCAAATAAAAAAGCTACTGTTGCCTAAGAACTGGGGACCCCCAGTCACTTGAAAGCCCATGTTCAACTTGACAGAACATCACTAAAGAGGGAAACCTCTGCTGTGTCTGCAGGAGGGGCATCCAAACCCCGGGCAGCCGTATGAAGGTGTATCCCGCACAGCCTATCTCCCAGACTCCTCAGAGGGCAGAAGGATCCTGAAACTGCTGAAGCAAGCCTTTAATCAGAGACTCATCTTCACTGTTGGTCAGTCCACCACCAGTGGCAGGAGCAACACGGTGACATGGAATGATATTCACCACAAGACCTCAACACACGGAGGACCAACTCAGTAAGGACTCTTATTTGGCAACATTACATGATGTACCACCTTAAATGTAATCATCATTACAGGTCTCGCATGATTTCACAGAGCACACTAACTCTGTGATTGTCTTTTCAGCTATGGATACCCAGATCTGGATTATCTCAGCCGAGTTCGAGATGAACTGAAAGTCAAGGGAATTGAATGAATCACTTTGTCAACACGTGAACGTAGAGCTAAGATGACACGACGTTAGAGTAGCTGGAAGGGGTAATGGCAAAGTGGACTACAAACTAGTAGGGATAATGAATGTCATTTTGACACCATTTGATGTTCCACAAATAATTATACCATCTCACATTAGTTTACCATAGATTTAAAGGTCTTTTTTTCAGTTTTAAATATTATATTTTTATTTTTTGCCTTGTATATGTATGAAATCACTACATATGGAACAACTGATTTGAAAGTGACCTGAGATTAATAATAAGGATGTAACTGGATCAAATACAAATAATAAATTAGATTTACAGCCCTGTGTTAGATAAAGTGGGACAGGCCACTTCAGGTTGAGTGGGACATGCTAGTAAGCACAGTGCAGCATTTTTTAGATTTAAAAGCAGATTTAAAAGTTGTTGGTAAGAAGGATGTATCTGACTATCAAATTTCAGGTTGGTAATTTCTTAAATCCACTAGGCTCCACAAAAGATGGCACCCATACAAAGAAAAGAGGAACAGAAAGAGAGGAGTGAGTGAAAGGGGGACAGGGGCATACGGAGAAGGTAAGGACAACGACGTAGGAAGGGAAATAAACTCAGTGGAGCGAAGAGAGAATGGGAGTGGACGTTGAGGAATACTATGTGACTGAAGGACAGGAACCTAACCTGACATGGACATAACAAAAGCGAGTGAAAGGGCTGCTGAGAGACCATGCATCAGGTAAAAGCCCCCAATCGTTTCAGAAATGCATTTAGAAACTTACTTACATAGCCTAGTATTAATAAACTGAAGACATTTAGGCTACTCGCAAACATGATTCTTTTTATGCATTGTTGAATATTTCTAACTAGATTAGATCTCTTTGAGTTACTCTACACGAACACATTTATATACGTTATATATATATATATATGTGTATATATATATATATATATGTGTATATATATAATATATATATATATATATATATATATATATATATATATATATATATATATATATATATATATATATATATATATATATATATATATATATATATATATATATATATATATATATATATATATATATATGTATATATATATATATATATATATATATATATGTATGTATATGTATATATGTATATATATGTATATATATGTATATATGTGTATATGTGTATATATATATATATATATATATGTATGTATATGTTATGTTATATGTTGCTAAATGTTAATATAATATTAAAATGTCTAATAATACGTTGTTAAGTTTCTCAAATGTTTAATAGTTAATTTTAACCTTATATAATATAGTGTCCCACTTTATCTAACAAAGCGTCCCACTTAACCTGATTGCTTCCAGTTTGCCCGAAGAGGGTGTCAGATGGTGTTTAAAGATAAACAGTTAACTGTTAATAAATTGGCTTAATTTCACCATAGATGTAAATGCTCTGTATTTGTATAGCACCTTCCTAGTCTTTTCAACCACTCTAAGCGCTTTTACACTACATCTGCATTCACACTGAGCCTAAGTGCTCAAACAGAAACTAACACACACACATTCATACAACATTCATACACTGGCCGCCAGGGGCAAGGACACTTCAACATGCAGCCTGGAGGAGCCAGGGATTGAACCGCCGGCCTTCCGATTAACGGCAACCCGCTCAATCTCCTGAGCCACAGCCCAAGATGCCTTCACAACAACCTATTTAAACAAAATACATACAATTAATACAATTAAAAATAAGATTTTAGGTTGTTTAAAATGCAATTTACATAAAAAGTGTCCCACTTTACCAGACTTCACCCTAATCTGATGGTATAATATAGTATAACAGTCATAGGGGACGTTTTTCTTTCTGCTATGAGTAGGCTACTTTTATTTCTAATTGGCTACTTCTACACTTTCCTGCTTATAGCCTACTTATCTACTTTTGCTTAACTTTTTCAATGCAGTAGGCTACTTGCAGAGTACTTTTATTTTTTTAAAGGATCTGAATAGGCCTATGTGACTTTGCTCACCACTGGCTAAAAAAGCTGGTTGCAAAGAGGTTGGAGAGTTTTTAACTGCATCAGTAATAATTTAGCACGCATTTGGCTCTCACTCTTTGATCATTACCGCATCCATCGCTTCCAACTTCCACTCCGTGTGTGCACGCATCCATGTTGCCTGGTAACGAGCGTGCCTGCCACGGGATCACGGAATTCACCCGCAAACAACACATTTTAATTTCTGATCAGCTTAACGGCTCTGGCATTTAGTAGGCTACAGAGAAAGCTATGAACTCAGCACAAAAATGATCCATTAATTGTATATAGCGGGACAACTTCGAGGACGTTTTGTCTTAACTTGGCGTGAGAAATACGAAGTGTGGCGTGTGAACTGGCTGAAATGCGTGTGTCTCACAGTGAATGCGTGAGATTTGAGAGCCCTTGTGGGTACGAGTCACTCTCGCCTGATTGAGAGGTCGCCACGATAACGGCTTGTCAATCACAGATAATCCCGCCCTGAAGCATACTCTGCTTCATGGTCTATTTTCCTCTAAACAGGACCAACATTTACTAAATGAACATCATGCTGTGTTGAAGAAGACTTAAAACTAGCGAGTGAGACCGTAAACTCATTATGAAAGTGTTTACTGAGGGAATAAATCAGCCTCATTTTGCCGTTATTTCTGTTGAAGCCATACTACTTTTTGCAACCAGAAGAGTCGCCCCCTGCTGGCTATTCGATAGAATGCAGGTTTATGGAACTTCTGCATTTTATTCAAGTCTCAGACCGGAAGCGTCCCACTTGGTTGTGCTCTGTAAGTGATGCTGCGTTCCATTTACCTCGGAGGTCGGAGCTGGGAATGACGTCAGCCGTTGTTTACAACTAGCCAGGTTAGCTATTGATTCGCCGGTTGATTTAAAAAAAAACGCATTGTAGCACTGTAGCAACACGTCCACAGACAGCTGTTGGACAGCACTTTGTGTACAAACATTTCTATGAGACACAAGTACACAGAAGTGCTAATAAACAGTATAAACTAGAGGTTTCACTAACTGTTGATGCCCCAACAGCCATCTTGGATCGTGAAGTCGGGGTAGTGCGGTTCTTTTGATTGTTTTGTTTTTTCTATTAAAGCTTCTATTCATAAACAATATGTTGAACATATAAAGCAGAGAAGCATACAATACCAGGGGAGCATAGGGTTGACTGAAAAACAAACATTGTCATAGGAAAGGAAGAATTCAGTCCATATATTGCCAAAAAGTGCAAGACCAAAATAAGTGATGCAAGTCTTCTTCAGCCATTTGACAAAATGAGCAGTCCACATCAATGTCCTTTTTATATCTTCGTAGAAATACCTTGCAGGGATAAAAGCCATGCAGCATTTTAAAAGATACTTCCTTAACCCTATTTAAAATTAGATATTTGGAAGGTAGGCACCAAATTTGGGGTAAGGTTATTCCAATAAGGAACAGCATTTGGGACAGAGACTATTTCTTTTTGAAACAGGGTACGTATAGATCGGTTATTGTTTCTCAAGTTAGAGGAGAAGCAGATCTGGCCAACAGTCATCGTATAAGGATCCAGTGGCAAAAAAGTTGGTACGGATACTATATGATTTTTAAGAAGCAGTAGAGCACCAGAAGGGATTGCATCAAAAACTAAAGCATATTCCTTTGGCAGTATAGGAATACCATATTTGTCTAGAAGTTCGGAGTATGACAATAATTCCCCACTAGAACTGAGGAGCTGTATAACCAGTTTTCCAAGAACAATGATTTGTGTTTATACAGAATGTCTGTTGTTGCAGATGTAGTATTTTTGCAGGGAAAAGTTGTGTTTAGAAACTAAAGACCAGGAAAGGAGCAATTGTTTGTGAAAATTTGATAACTTTAAGGGGATTTTTTTCAACATTGTAGCTGCAAAGTAGGAGGAACTTAAGACCTCCAAGCTTTGAAAACAGGTAGTTCGGAATAAAATTCCAGATTGAGTTTGGATGTTTTATCCAATTTATCTTAAAGGTATTGTTGAGGGTGGAGAAGTCAAGAAAGTTTAGACCACCATTTACATAGGAGTTCATTAATACTGATTTTCTATTTTTCCATACAAAGTTGTATAGCAGGTTATCAATGACCGCAGAGGTCCGTTTGTTGACATCTAGAGATAAGGCTGCATAAGTAAGACCAGATATGCCCTCAGCTTTGGTAAGCAAAATTCTTCCTTTAAGAGAGAAGCCTCTTTGAAGCCATAAATTACATTTTTTCTGCACCTTTCCTACCACTGGGTTGAAGTTCAAAGAGCATCTGGTGTCGTTGTTTTTGTTAATAACAATTCCAAGGTAGGTGACGGACTCTTTGACTGGAATGGTAGAGATAGACGTAAAGCAGCTTTTGTGGGCGAGCAGCTCACGCTTACTGATATTTTAAAAAAGACCAGAGGCTTTAGAGAATGTCTTAATTGTATCGATAGCATCCTTTAAAAATAAAGTGGTATCATCAGCTAGTTGACTAATTATTATTTCTTTTCCAGCTATTGTGATACCTTTCAAGGGGCTGGTCTTAATAAAGTCAGAGAGTGATTGAGCACAGATCAGAAACAAGTATGGTGAGACAGGACACCCCTGCCTGACACCAGGCTTTAGGTCAAATCTAGGTGAGGTGCCTCCATATAGTTTAATTTAGCAATTTGCATTCTTTTACATGGTTTTAATGGCTGCACAAAAGTAAGTGCCAAAGCCAAATTTATCCAAGGCCTGTAAGAGAAAGAGAAAGAAAAGGGGGCGTTTGGTTTTCAATGCTTTCTGTGTATACGTGATGAAGGAAGGGAGCAAGTTGTTCTGCAAAAGCAATATAAAATTCAGCGGTTGGCCATCAACACCTGGAGATTTGTTAAGTTTTAGACGGTGAATGGCAGACAACTTCATCTGCAGTTATTGGGTTATCACGGAAATCTTTTTGGTCATTCAATATCGATTTTGTTTTAGTGAGGTACCTTAAAAAGGTGTTAGCTGCTACCTCATTATAGTGAGATGTATAAAAAGTGGAACAGTACATAGCTATCTTTTGGGGATCAGAAATAACACCATTAATACTGAGTTTTTGAATAGAGTTGGATTTGTTGCAGGATCGTTCTAATTGGAAGAAATAAGCAGTGTTTTGCTGTCCTTCCTCCAACCACTTCCACCTTGACCTCACAAAGGCTCCCTCTGCTTTTTCTCTGTATATTTCATTCAGGCGATTTTGCTGTAAAATTAAATCCTGTTTGTCATTTTCTGATAGATTGTCAGGCATAATCTGAAAAAGAGCAGTTATTTTGGTAATTATCTTTGTTTCTTCCGCTTTTCTAGATTTGGACAAGAAGGACCCATACATACCCTCTTAAGAATTTTGACACCTCAAATATGAAGAGCTCCCAGTTTCTGGAAAAGCATTTCTCTAGTAAGGCCTTGTTCCAGAAACAATTAATCAATGTTTGGATCTTATTAATTACTAGGTCATGTTTTAAAGTAGCATTATTAAGTTTCCAATAGGAGCCTCTTAATGCTTGACTAGCTTTGGAACTAAGAGAGATTTGGAGTGACACAGCTCTGTGGTCTGTTAAAGGAGTTGTTAGTATATCGACCAAAACATTATCACTATTAAAGTGGTCAGAATTAACCAATAATCAATATGTGACATTGAAGTGCTTATTATTCCATGTATAGAGTTTAACATTGGGATTTTTCCCCCTCCATATACCTATTAAGCTGAATTTTTGCATAAATAGCAGCAAATTGGAAGATGAGGGATTCATTGAATTTGGAGGCCATCTGTCTAAGGAACCATTTAAAGCAATGTTGAAGTCACCACCCCTCAGAAGCAGTAAATTTGGGTATTTAGAAAACAAATATAAAAAACGGGATTCCAAAACATCAAGGAAAAGGTCATTTTCATGTCTGGTGTTATACCCATAAATGTTGGCAAGCATGAGAATGTTGTTATCAATATTAACAATTAATAATATGTAACGGCCATTGGGGTCACTTTCTGAGTGCAAGACTTCTCCATCAAAGTTATTCTTTAAGATAGCAACCCCTGCAGATCTATCTGAACCGTGCGACAACCATTGAGTTTTCCAAAAGGCAGCATCATTTACCACTGAGTGTGATTCTTGAAAAAAAAAAAAATTAGTCTTTCGCTGTTTTGCGAATAAAAACAGAGCTTTACACTTAATATTCTCTCTTAATCCCCTGGCATTGAGAGAAACAACTGATAAAGACAGTGTAATAAGTATTCAGTTAAGTAAACAACAACAACAACAACAAACAATTTTCATCCCTTAAGAAAACTAAGTCTAAGGACTTTGGACTAGGCCAACCAGGAACGACATAACCTTATACTTACAGGGCCCATTAGCTTGAAGTGGAGTTGTAGGCCTACCTATGAACAGCGATTATACAAAATGTGAATCGTGTCAACAGATGACCATCCGGGAGGACTTGCAGTGTTAGCCTGAGTCGGTTGTGCTTGTAGTGGAGACAGCGGTGGGCGTATCTCCTTCCCTTCTATTATCACGCGAGTCCCAGCAAAGTGAGCTTTCTTTCCTTGTTTCTTGGCCGTATCGATCAGTGGCCAAATTTTCTCCCGCAGAACCTTGTCAGCCGCGGTTAGATCTTCTGTAAACCTCAAGTTGTTCTCTTTGAGGAAGCTACAGCCCTTTGCCATTCTCCACACCAAGTCCCGCGCTGATCTGTTGGAAAAGCGGATGATAGTCGTCCTCGGTCTCTTCTGTTATAGCAGCCCAGACGGTGTACAATGGCAATATTTTCTTTGAACTTGAATGCGTCTCCCCGACAACAGCACAGCAAATGTCGGTGACTTTCTCCTTTATGTTTTCTTGTTTGATCTCGGGGATACCGTGGAGTCTGAGGTTCCATCTGCGCTGATACCTTTCAGCCTCGTGGATTTTCAGTTCCATCTCGGACAGCCTCTGGATATTTTTCTCACACGTGGTCTTTGTCGATCTCATGTCTGTTTTCAGGCTTTCAATCTCGGTAAACAAAAAGTCAATTGATGTTTTTAGGCCTTCGATGCTGACCGTGTTATGATTGATCATGCTCTCCAGATTATCAGCTCGCGTGTGCAAATCATCACCTTTGAGTCTCTTTCCCTCTGGTTTGGCAGGAGTATCTGGGTCGGATTCTGGCATGGGTAATAGCTCTGGGCTCTGGCTGCGGATGTTGGAGAAAGAGTAGTCATGCTCGCAGGCAGCATGGGCAGCAGTTGTAGAGCGAGCCTGGACACCAGTGGTTATAGCAGTTGCCTTTGTGTCTTTAGGTGAGATTCTCGTCACGTTTTTGGTGCACAGCGTTTTTTCTTTCTTTTTATGCTTAATGCCGTGCTCAGACAGAGACATGTTGAGAGTTAGCTTAGCCGGGATAGGCAGAGTTAGCTTAGCCGGGATAGGCAGAGTTGTGGTTAGCTGGCTAACAGTGCTCGCCGGTCTGTGGTGAAAGTTGCTATGTTGGCAAAGCACTTTCCCGGTGAAGTTAGACAGTGCAATACATTGCAAAGACAAATTTACGAGGTGTTCGGAGTCCAAATGGAGTTTGAGAGGAGGATAATAAGGGATGAAAATTGAAAACGCCGATTCAGCCATGAACTGTTGCGACTTTACTAGGCGCCATCTTGCCAGCCCCACTGCGGTAGTGCGATTCTCCCGATTTCCAAAGTCGGGATTCCGACTTAAGGGGGCGTTCCCTTTGAAATTTTGACCTTTGAACTCGGAAATTCCGACTTCCCATGTCAAATGAAACAGGTTACAGTTAAAGAATGCCTTATAGCTGTGCAGTATTATAAACAGCCTGGATTGAACCCAGCAGCTGATACAACATTCATTATAACCAGGAGAGACTTGACTTGGACTCTAGCTCAGAGACTGCGTCACGGTTTTGTTCCGTCCTCTGCACAGCTTCATACCCGTCGGTTGTGCCTGCCTGACTTTGATTTGATAGGAATACATAGCATCTACATGTATGACAGTACACAATTATGTATAAATACACAAAGTATTCACCCCCCTGAGCTTTTTGACAAGGATTTTAACACTGATTAATAAAAAATATTCTAATGGAATACAAATCCCTCCACATCTATCTACATTAATTACACATTCAAAAGACAAAATATTTGAAGTTCATATCTTCCCCCATTGTTCTTTGCAGAACAGCTCAGATTATGCCAAGCTGCTTGGCGCTGAGTTACCAAGACTTTAAAATGTACAAATAACTTATTTCTGTAATAGCCATGCATGGCAACTGCAGTTTGGTTAAAGGTACAATGTGTAAGAATTGCGACTGCTCCACCCGGCAGCATCTGATCACATAGCAGGTCCTAAGTGCAGTTCTGGCCGTATCTAACACATTATTCCTTTAAGGTAGGGAAATACTGGGGTTATGGCAAATAAACAGTGGTTAAGGCGAAAGCGCAATTGTGCTGTGTAGAAAGTGCCCAGACTCGAAGTGTGACTGAGATCACATGGGCTTCATCTGTTTGCCTATTTGTTGTTTGTACCCCGTTGTGAAATAGAGTACAGTGATTGTCACGTACCTGGAGGTGGGATCTGTCCACGCAGATAGTTTTCAGCTTTTGAGATATCTGTCTCTGAGGACAATTTTGCTCAAAGCATTGAAACACGACATTTAAAGAGCGTGACAGGTACATGCCTTGACGGTGTCCCTTTTACTCTGGATAATCCACACACCCCACTGTCAGGTTTTTTATTGGAAGTAGACTCTAACGTAGACAACGTTAGTTTCCTATGAAAACTATTTACTTCTACTGATTGTCAGCATGGCTAGACTTCACCAGAGGACAGAAAATCTGCTTTTTGGAATGCGTGATTATTCACACAGAGTACACAGTGGGATCTAGGCTGATTTCCAGCTGCAGCTATTTGATTTTTTAAACAAATGAACTTACTGTACATTGAGGAGCGTTCTTCTCACAGACTTTGGAGTGAACGTGTCAGGATTGTTTGGAATGTGTTTTGTGTAAGTGAAACCATGTAAACCTTTTCTTGTACACCCCCTTACTAATATAAATCTGAAAATGAGCAGAATGACCACTTTAATTTCATCCTTTCAATCCCATTTGTTTCAATCTTTTTAACCATCCATGTTGTTGTTCCTTCCTATAGTAACGGACGGTTAAATGTGCCGTGTGTACATTGAAAACATCCTTTCAGAGGTGTGATTCTGTGTTGGACAGAACCCAATCTTTTTTTAAAGCATGAATATTTGTCACTGCACTTGTCTCCCATGTGTTAGGAAAAGAAAACCGCAGTGCTCAGAGTCCAACTGCACTAATATCATTTTCAAAATAAACTTTCTAAGTGCGTATGAATTCTCCTTCGCATCATTCCTTGACTTTGTGAAGACTGTCCATCAAGGTCAAAGAAAAAGTGTTCAGTAAAGAATATTTTCTCCACTTTGACCGCAGCCACGGTAACACAGGTGAACGCTGTGCAGATGCGTTTTCATAAACTCTACTCAGATCCACTGGGATTCAGGATGACCTCACATCATGTGGATTTTGTTGATTTGTACTCCACAATAAAATAAGTGCATCCAACCGGTAAATAAGTCACACTGAAACTCAGAAACACACAGCACTGCGCACAGGCTGTAGTCTATGACCTCATAAAATCAATAAATTGCTGTGAGCTACACCACTATCCCCACATGGGACACAGACGTTCTGTTCAAATGAAAATTTAAATCAGTTGTATGATTAGGCACTTCCAAGCACTTGGTTTATTTTTTTCTAGGGTCAAAGAAAACACACAGACTGGCGGTCCCTTTATTTAGGTAACATATATAATCTCATATTCACTCTGCAATGTGAGGTGATTGGTCACTCACTAATCCCCCCCAGCCCTTTGCTACATACAATAACAGGAGGAGGCTATCTGTAATACAGCCTTTCACAAGCTCCATGAGGCTGAGTAGCAAAAGTTTGTTAAAACAGAACAGTTAAACAAATGTGAAAAGAACACTGAGGCAGTAGAAAATTAAGAGCAATGTATGGTCCGTGGTGAAAAGGCTTAGTTGAATGTTTTTACAGCACAATGTCCATTATTCTCACAGACAGTGCAGCTGAACCATGACATGCAATTGTTACAAAGTGACCTTTGAATTTTTGCCTGATATAAATACGAGTAGAGTATACAAGTATACGTGTCAGCTTCTGGAATGTGAGCCCAGCTTTTGTGAGCATGTTTGATAATCCATTCGACTTTTTCAAAGTTTAGTAAAATCCAGTGGATTTATTTTCAGAAAAAATAAAATAAAATCACTGACTGTTTAGGAAATGCAGCAAGCCCATGCCCACATGAAAGGATCAATCTATTCAGATCTGTGCAATCAGTACAGTGACAGGTCTGGATTACGTTTAGCAGAGCACACAGCCTGGAAGCAGGATGAACTGCCAGCCTAGCTCCGTGAAAAATGGAAAGAAATACACCACCATCTCTGAAGCTGCCTGATTTACAGACAAGGCTTCCACAGTGAGGACATTAGATGCTGTGTGGAGTCACTGCACACAGTGTGTCTCTCTTTCATTAGGTTTAAACACAGGCAATAAAGCCTATCAAATCTAATCATGTCAATGAGCTGCTAGCAGTTTGTGTCTGATCCGGTCTGTTTAATAGCAACTTGACACATCTTGGACCTCCAGTGTGCTGGAGAAGACTCAGAATTCAAATCCATCTTCATATTAGAGTATGATATTTGTCTTGAGCATGACTTGAGGGGGTTTATTGCTCCTGATGCTCGAAGTCCAGGTAGCATACACAAACTCAAAAGCTGAGGAGAAGACCATCAGAAATGCATTTCTCCTGCATTAAGCCCTGCGCATGACTTCAATTCTGATTATATTTAAATTCACCAGTAAATGGAAGCTATAAGTCCAGAACTAACGTAGGACAGCTGGCACTGATCGGGCCTGCTGTCCTCCGTTAGTTCCTGCAAATTACAAATGTGTTTTTATCAAGGAGATACAAGCCAAAGTCACGACACTGCACCCAGACTAAGATAAGTTTACCGACTTACAGACCGGAATCCTGAATGGACCCTGTCTTATATTAGACATGCACACATTTTGACAGTGCATCTACAATTTATGTTTCGTTATAAACACAAACTACTGGCCAAAGGATATTTTAAACAGTGTGACCTATTTTCACTTTTTAATGTCTGAAAGGATCATTATTAATATTTATATATATCCCTTCCATCATCATTGTATTATAGCCCATCAATTCTACACTGTTAGCAGAATTTAAGAATTGTATTACTCCAGCACTATTTTTACACAATACCCTGAACAGATCTAATCATGTTCAACAGTTTTGGCTTTTCATTTTGAAAGTTTTTCTAAACTATTAAACTGAGCTGAGGTCTAAGTAACCAATGCACTCCATCTTCCCCGACTGTACAATAAGCTTCTATTCATGTCTAGGCTTGATCTTCTACGCAACTTTGGGCAGAAGGGATGGAATGTTTGGTGGCACGGTCTCTCAGTGGTTAGCGCTGTAGTCTTACAGCAAGAATATCTTCAGTCTGAATCCAGCAGGGATGGGGCCTTTCCCACAGTCCAAAGACATACAGGTCAGGTGACCTGGAAGCTTTAAATTGGCTGCAGATGAATGGTTGTCTCGCTCGGTGTGTCAGCCCTGTGATATACAGGGTCCACGGTGTACCCCTCCCCCTGGCCGGTGTGAGCTGGGAGAGTCTCCAGCCCCCTACGTGCCTGCACATGTCTATTTAATAGATAAATGGGGTAAAACGGAGAAAACATCTGGAAATGAGTCCTTAATGTTGACCCCACTCAGTACTAGGTAATGGACTCTTTTGGATCTGACCACATTCCTTGTCTCCTAGTACTAATTCTGAAAGCCACAGAATGCTGTGACACTGAAGACACATTTGTTAGAGGATATCCATTTAAAGCCTCTCTGCCCTGTACATGGATCAGTACATGTACGTCAAGGTTACTGTATCCTCAGGTGTGTCAGGATGCTACCCTAGTAACCTGTGCCACGTACCTTTCAGAAACTAGCTCAAAGACAGACCCAATAGAAAAGAAAGGATATGAATTGACATCCTAATTTCAGCCTCACCAATATCACCAACCACTTCATTCAGAGTTCAGTCAGTTATTATTTTTTAGCAAAAGTGAAATGACACCGGGGAGGGGCAACAAGGATCAACACTTATCGGGAAGGATAAGAAAATGAGGGACAAGAAGAGAGGGCAGCCCATTTCAAAAGTCCAGGCAGGGGGGAAACTGTACTTCAGTCACGTCACCATGTTGGGGCCAGTACTCCTACCCCAACGTACAATGCCACTTTGAACGCCTCGACTGCTTTCTGTCCTCTGTGTGGTCACCTCATTTGGTGAAAGCAGCCACCACAGCCCATAGCAGCTCGTTGGTGTTGGCCTTCATGCTCTCCCCCTCGGGCTCCAGCTCGAGCAGCTGCCGCACTCTCTTCATGGCCAGGTCATATTGGTCGTCTAGCAGCGGGGCGAAGGCATTTTCCAGGACATCGGAGGAATGGGCTAAGAAGATGAGCGCAAGCAGCCGCTTGTCCATTCGATGGGGGTCATTCACCCACTTGTCCAGTACGGCCTCCTGGACCTTCTTGATGAGGCGTTGCTTGATGTTGTTGTTAGTCAGAGGATGTGTGGTCATGTCAAAGAGCAGGAAGTTCTGCTTCTCAGTAGTGAGGACGCCTTTTTCCACAAGGTTTTTGGCCAGTCGTTCACGGACGTTCCGCAGTTGATAATGAAGCTTCAGGGGGTTCCACGTCTCCCCTAAAGAAGAGTCGATAAAACAAGACAGTTAATGTTGTCACAAAAAAGGTGCTGTGCTCATCTACATCTGGAATGATGGTTGCAAAGGGTAGCATCATTTTCGGTCAACTTATTTGGGGGAGGAAAGCACATTAAAAAGCAATCCTAAGTCTTACAGCAAGTTTTGCTTAAAAGCTAAAAGTTAACGGTTAAAACCATTCGACTTGTAGCCATGCACGAGGCCCGGGCAATAAAACAATAATAATTACTGCAATATCATTTTCTCAATATCAATATAACAAATGATCAATAAATGATTTATTTGAATCATGAACCAGTCAGCACTTAATTTTTCTATTCAGATATTTCTTTTTTGGGGAAAAAGGACTGAAAATGGTTTTACTTAATTTTACTTGAGCAAATTTGTTAAAAAAAAAAAGATTTTATCAGTTGTTTTGAATATGCTGCCTCAGATTTATTAAGTGATCCACTGTTTGGAAAGTGTTTGTCATGTTCTGATCATAAAGAACAGTTTAAACTCAAAAATTAAACATTTATAATAGTCATAAATATTGATATCAAACAACATGAAATGTATTTGTTTGTTTGTCTATGTGTGGCCCTGCGATGGACTGGCGACCTGTCCAGGGTGGACCCCGCCTTTCGCCCGACGTCCGCTGGGATTGGCTCCAGCCCCCTGTACGCAGGGATAAGCAGTTGACAATGGATGGATGGATCATTTGATATCGATAATTATCAGGATAAATGTCAAATCATCATTTCTTTCAAGTTTAAAGGCTGGTTTTTGTTCCTGAAGGGAACCAGATGATTAATCATGTTGCTAAACTTTTTTTTATGGTCAGAATGTGAAAAACACTTGATGCCAAACAGAGGATCACTTCACAAATCTGAGGTAGAACATTCAAAACTATTATCTTTTTCAACAAACATGATTAGTAAATCTTTTTTCTCAACAAAATAAATATCTTCATAGAAATATTAGGTGCTAATTTGTTTGTGATTCAAATGAATTAATGCAAATATTGGCGATATATTGAACATTTATTATATTGTTGAGGAAAATTATATTGCGATAATTATCACTGTTTTATTGCCCAGCCCTATTCCATTTTTATTATGATATTTCAGTAAATCAGCAGATAGTAGCCTAAAGCAATGTATACAGTTTCTAACTTGTTAAGACCTTCTGCTAGTTTTGCTAGCTTGCTATTGCCATGTGGGATGTTGCTTCATCGCATGTGCTAATTGAGGAGTTTTAATTCAACTATTTTCACTCCTTATTTATTGTAGAACATTTCAGAAATGAGGTGTTATTTTAACGCCTTAGTCTGCATGTAGCCCACATTGTATGATGGCATTTTCACTAGTTCCTTTCTCCATTAGTTAACTTGCTAGCTAGATAACGCAACGTAGCACATTACACGTGTATATGTATTTCACAAATGAATGGATTCAATGGTCTTCAAAGAAAAGAGAAGCCCCTGGCTTCAGTGTGCCCACATTGCACACTGCAGCCAGGGGCTACAGGGAATGTTTGTTTTGTTGTTATCCAATGAAAGTTCAACACAGCCTTAATGAGCCAACTCATTAAACTAAAATTCAACTCAACTAAATTTGAAATGTTTTCACTTCCACTAAAAGGGTTTCCAGTTATGTCTGCTTATAATATGGTAAAATACTTGTTTCTATCTGCATGATAAATACAGCCTGGCCAAATAACCCTATTTTATTCCTGTTAATTCCCATTGAACATTGTTTATTTCTGTTTTTATAATTGATTCTGTATTAATGTATAATGTCTGCTATGTAGCAGAAGGGACTTACAAAGCTCAATTTCATTATATAATCTGTTATATTGTGACAAAATAAATCTACCTTCCTACCTAGAAAAGTTTCCACCATGAATGTTCCTGGAATCTGGCATCTTCTCCTGTTCTACCTCTGTATTTCTTGCCAGTGTCTTTAATCTTTTACTGTGACCAATCTTCACAGTTCTTCAGATTCAGTGGAAATGCAACCTAGAATGCTTGAATGGGACATTTAGTTCCATGTTTAATTTCCAGCACTCCTGAATTCCTGGTATTATTTGATCCCAAAAGGGTTCTATTGTTTTTGCTAATCGCCCCAAAGTCTGACAGCCTACAAACACAGATTCCTTTGTTAATGCAGGGTCTGTCAACTTGATCAAAAATGCATAAAAAAGGGGCGGCTGTGGCTCAGGAGGTAGAGCGGGTTGCCCATTAATCGGAAGGTTGGCGGTTCCCAGCTCCTCCAGGCTACATGTCAAGGTATCATTGGGCAAGATACTGAACCCTCGAATTGTGTGTGAATGTTAGTTTCTGTTTGAGCACTTAGGCTCAGTGAATGAATGTGAGTGAATGTTAGTTTCTGTTTGAGCACTTAGGCTCAGTGAATGAATGTGAGTGAATGTTAGTTTCTGTTTGAGCACTTAGGCTCAGTGAATGAATGTGAGTGAATGTTAGTTTCTGTTTGAGCACTTAGGCTCAGTGAATGAATGTGAGTGAATGTTAGTTTCTGTTTGAGCACTTAGGCTCAGTGAATGAATGTGAGTGAATGTTAGTTTCTGTTTGAGCACTTAGGCTCAGTGAATGAATGTGAGTGAATGTTAGTTTCTGTTTGAGCACTTAGACTCAGTGAATGAATGTGAGTGAATGTTAGTTTCTGTTTGAGCACTTAGGCTCAGTGTATGAATGTGAGTGAATGTTAGTTTCTGTTTGAGCACTTAGGCTCACTGAATGAATGTGAGTGAATGTTAGTTTCTGTTTGAGCACTTAGACTCAGTGAATGAATGTGAGTGAATGTTAGTTTCTGTTTGAGCACTTAGGCTCAGTGAATGAATGTGAGTGAATGTTAGTTTCTGTTTGAGCACTTAGGCTCAGTGAATGAATGTGAGTGAATGTTAGTTTCTGTTTGAGCACTTAGGCTCAGTGAATGAATGTGAGTGAATGTTAGTTTCTGTTTGAGCACTTAGGCTCAGTGAATGAATGTGAGTGAATGTTAGTTTCTGTTTGAGCACTTAGGCTCAGTGTATGAATGTGAGTGAATGTTAGTTTCTGTTTGAGCACTTAGGCTCAGTGAATGAATGTGAGTGAATGTTAGTTTCTGTTTGAGCACTTAGACTCAGTGAATGAATGTGAGTGAATGTTAGTTTCTGTTTGAGCACTTAGACTCAGTGAATGAATGTGAGTGAATGTTAGTTTCTGTTTGAGCACTTAGACTCAGTGAATGAATGTCAGTGAATGTTAGTTTCTGTTTGAGCACTTAGGCTCAGTGTATGAATGTGAGTGAATGCAGATGTAGTGTAAAAGCATTTACATTTTACATAAATAACCAAATGCATTGCATTCACATCAGCTGATGTTTGACATGCGATTGTGTAAAACAAAATGTTCTACTTCTAACTTTATAATTCAAACCCATAGCACTCAGGGCCCAGTCTGTAAGTGCAGACATACACTTGTAAGAAGCCTGCATTTTCAAAACACGTGAGACGTATACCTCAAAATTCAGTTGGGTCCAAACGGCATGAGGCAGCATGGATCCATTTTGTTTCTAGACCCCTTTCTACACAGCACCAGCGTGGGGCTGTGAGCCGATGAAGCAGTTGAACTCACCACTGAGCAGTTCGATCCAGCTCTGCACGGTCTCCGGGGGTTGGGTGTCTTTGATGTGTTTCAGAGCTTCATCCAGGAGCACGTCGCCTGTCGGAGCATCTGACTTACAAATTACCTGCGAATCCGATTCAGAATAAGGACAGCCAGTTACAAGGTGTGCTTTGCAGTTCACTAACTAAGATGAACTTTCCTTATTGATCAATTTGTCAATTACTTTTTCTGATTACTTGTTTGGTCTATGAAATAGCGAAACATGCAGTTTCCCAGAAGCCTAGGCTGGCATCTTGAAATATGTTTTGTCCAACCAACTGTCAAACCCAAAGATATTCAGTTTACAGGGAGGAGCAGAAAGTCCTCATGTTGCAGAAGCTGCAACTAGAGACTGTGGGGCCTTTTTGCTTGATTAAAATTAAAAACCTGTTGTCGATTACTTTTCTGTTGATCTATGGACGTTATGAAAATAAACGGAAAACTACTTGGGCCCGGAGCAAATTCCCACATTCACTTTTACTCTGCTCTTCAATTTATGTAGCACGTAATGATGAAGGAATAACAGTTAAGGAAGAGGAAAACGCGCTGGCGTGCTGGTTAAAGGAGACCTATTAAACTGCTTTTCCAGTCCTATATTGTAGTTCTGTGACTCCTGTGCAGCTTTGCATGATTCAAAGTTCATGCAGGCCTTCATTTCAGCCTCTGTCAGAACAAGCTGTAGATGCTCCTATCTCTTTAAGCCCCCCCCCCCCCCCCCCAAGCCCACTGTCTTCTGATTGGCCAAGACCTGAAGCATGTTATCTATGGGATTAATATCCTGCCTTGATTCAAAACTGAAAATAAAGTTCTGAAAGGATGAAACTAAGTATTTGAAAACTCAAAATCTTACAAAAAAAAGTTATGCAAGATCGAAAACTAAGATTTGCAAGCTTGCAAAATGTAGAAAAATAAAACAGTCTTGTTTTTGAGTTTTCCTTCTTCAGAACAAACAGTTTCAAATTTGTCAGTGTTCTCCCAGTGTATTAGTTTGTTTTCCAGGTTTGAAACCTTGTAAATGGTGATCTGAAAACGGGTGTGTAAATGTGTGAAAAAACGTTTTGAAACGCTGAAAATTGAGGTTCAAAAGGGCGAAACTTTATTACAATACATTTACACTCCTATTGCAGACTATTTTTTCAGACCTGTTCAAGCTGTGGGCCTGTAAAGCATGGGAGTGCTTTTGGTCATATATATTGACTGTTTTTATCAATATTTCAATGTTTTGGAAGCTTTATGTTATTTGGAACGTGGTTGTATGGAGAGAAATAATGTTTTGAAGATAACTACCAATAAAAGTGAACATGGCCAAAACATGGACATTCGCCTGATATATGGCTGATATAAGAAAGATTGTGTAATAACTGTTGTATATCAGTTTCTTTTCATCAAATTTACAGTTACAGTTGTATTCCAGGTGTATTAGAAGATATTCTGGTGCATTATAATCTACCTTATGATGGTTTTGATGGTTTATTGCATTAAAATATAGCTTTTTTTAACCAGGCGAGGGTGAAAAATATATTTCTGTATTTCACCTCTATGTAGTCTGTAATGGTAAAATACTCCAACACAGCTGTGACATGGCTAAGTTAGTAGTCCATTATAGTGTAAAACGTGTCATTTCCAGCATTGCCAACAGGTGGCGGTATGACTTTTAGTGAATGTTGGCATATGGATTTGTTCAGGGCTAGACCGTTATTATCCATGTCAAATTTGGTACAGATGTGAGCATGTATACCGAAGTTACAACTTCCTGTTTTGTGGCGAATCATCGATTTTCGACGCCACGGGCACGCTCGTGGACGATAAAACTCACCGTTTGTACAACTTAATCGCCAATGGGTTTAAAGTGCACTGCAAAAATCTGAAGTTGATTAGATTAATTCTCTAGGAGGAATTTGTTAAAGTATGCACTCTGTAAATGGTATAAAATAGGCTAAAATTGCACTTTCAATTCAAAATGGTGGACTTCCTGTTGCATTAGGGGTATAGGTCCTCGAGACTTTTTTGTGCGTCTTGATATGATTCACGTCCCCAAAATATATCGTGCATGTAGGTTGAACATGGCTGAGGGGCTAATTTCTTCCAATTTTGTAGGTGGAGCTAGCGAGCCATTTTGCCACACCCATGTGCAGGACCCATAAAATACGTAATTTTTTGCCACTTCAGACATGTATGCAAAGTTTGGTGCACGTTTCCTTCTTAGGCCCTAACAATCACCTTTCCCCACTGCCATGCTGTCACCCCCCTCCTCTCTGACCCCTCACCTGCACTCAAGATCGGTGAAGAGGACGTGAGCCACCTCAGTAAGGCTCCTGGCCCCGACAGTGTGTCCCCATCCTGCCTCCTGCTTCAAACGCTCCAGTCATCCGGTCCCCAAAAACCCCTCCATCTCTGGTCTGAATGACTACAGGCCCGTCGCCCTGACATCTGTAGTAATGAAGTCCTTTGAAAGACTGGTGTTGGCCCACCTGAAGGACATTACAGGCCCCCTGCTGGACCCCCTGCAGTTTGCCTACAGGGCTAACAGGTCAGTGGATGATGCTGTCAACTTGGGTCTGCATCACATCCTGCAACACCTCGACTCTCCAGGGACATATACTAGGATCCTGTTTGTGGACTTCAGCTCGGCGTTCAACATCATCATCCCGGACATCCTCAGCACCAAACTCACCCAGCTCACTGTGCCAGCCTCCACCTGTCAGTGGATCACAGACTTCCTGACTGACAGGAGTCAGCAGGTGAGGCTGGGGAACATCACATCCAGCACCCGGACTATCAGCAATGGTGCCCCCCAGGGGTGTGTGCTCTCCCCACTGCTCTTCTCCCTCTACACCAACGCCTGCACCTCAGGAGACCCATTTGTCCAACTCCTGAAGTTCGCTGACGACACAACGGTCATCGGCCTCATCTGGGACGAGTCGGCCTACAGACGGGAGGTTGATCAGCTGGTTCTCTGGTGTGGTCAGAACAACCTGGAGCTTAACACGCTCAAAACTGTGGAGATGACCGTGGACTTCCAGAGTAGCCCCCCCACTCTGCCCCCCATCACCATACTCAACAGCCCTGTGTCTGCTGTGGAATCCTTCAGGTTTCTGGGATCCACTATATCCCAGGACCTGAAGTGGGAGCCCAACACTGACACCATCATCAAGAAGCCCAGCAGAGGATGTACTTCCTGCGTCAGCTCAGGAAGTTCAACCTGCCCAAGGAGCTGCTGATCCTAGAGGTGCTCCGATCAGGATTTTTTGGGCCGATCACCGATTGCTGAAAGCAGTATCGGCCGATACCGATCACCGGGCCTATTTGGAGCCTTTTATTTATCATGTAGCATTATACAGTATACTGTATATTTATTTAATTGGTCCTAAAAACAATGTATTAAGTGTTAAAGTTAACAGATGATTAAGTATCATGAAATGACAACTGTTTATTTTATTGCCAGGAAACATGGGCAACAAATTACGCTCAATCTGTGTTAGAGACTTAAACCATAGCAGCCTTTGCCTGGTTACTGTGAACATCTTATAGCTTAACAAATATAGCTTTACTGTGGAATAAACTACAAAAACAGAACAAACAGCATCTTTATAAATTCACTAAAACCATAAAAACTGCAACAAAAAAGGCTATAGCCAAAATATTTAGGAGATAAAGGACCACAGGCATCATGAGTCGATGATAAACTCTGAAGTAGCTGCTTTTTGTTCTGGAAAGCTCAGGCAGGTTCTGTGGGCTTTAGGGGGGAGAGAGGAGCAGAGAGGGAGAAGGGCTACAGAGGGGAGTCAAAACTGCCTTCAGTGAGATTTGAAAATAAGGAAAATTTATAAAATAAGAATAGGCTACAATGTAAATTCCATATTATACAGTCAATTGTTAATATTACATAGGCTACTATATTCATTCTAATTTTATATGGTTTGCCATCAGTAGGCTACAGGCCTTATATCATTTCAGTGGATTGTTTTCATTTTTTATCCTTGTGCTATCCTTGAGCACAGTCTACATATCTTACATGCTGCCACCGACTTTACCAGAGGGAGCGTAGCAAACACTTTAGATACGGCCAGAGGGTTTTATTTGATTTCATAAAGGTTAAATAAACGGGTGAGAATGGAAAAATACGGGAGAATCTCGGGGAAAATGGTAGGGTTGGCATGAGAGGAGTAGAGAGAGGAGTGGGGTAATGTGAGGTTACATCCACACTGCTACGTTTTTACAGTTTAATAAGGAAAACGATCTTCTCCGTCCACAGCAGCGTTTCAGCTGCGTATCAGAGTTGATCTCTGTCTATATTAGAACGACTGAAAATGCACATCTAGTGGCCGTTCAGGTAGCCCAAACTGGGCATGCGCGTGCCAGTGTAAACATGAAGCAGATGGTCTACTCTGCCGTAGCAGAAAAATTTAGCGAAAAGAAGAAATTAATACAGACCAAGAACCACACCAGGCTGTTTTCTCTTTTTTTTTTTGCATTGACCGACAACGAAGTGGAACTTTTACTGAAAGTAACACGGGAGTACGAGAGACGGCGGCGGAAAACAGACTGGGAGATGTCGCAAAGTAAATACAGCGACATGCACAGTAGGCTAGGCTAACTGTTAAGTGTTATTTACACAGTACTTATATTTAAATAAAAATACCAAAACTAAAACTCCTTAAAGCATCGTGTTTTTGCTTTGAATGACTAATAAGACCGACTCACAAAGCTAAATGTGAGTGTGTGTCATCGTTTTATAAAGTCCTCTGTTTTGTCCATCAGATCAGTAGCGTTTTCAAACAAACCGTTTTAATCTGGACGGCAGGCGGAAACGTAGCAAAAGGTCTCCGTTTTTTAACGAAAACAGAGAGAGGCAGGCAGCTGATTGAGTGGCGCCGTTCTTTGCATCAGGAAACTCACACTGAAGGATCAGTCTCTCTCTGCCTGATGCGCTGTGTCTGTTAAACTCCGGTTGCGGGTGGCGTGTGAGTGAGATGAGCACAGCAGCGACAGTTTCACATAATCGCTCCTGCGTGTTGCTCCACTTGTCTGATTGCTGCTCAACTAAAACTCAGATAAAACTGAAGTTATTGCTCTGGGGCCTAAGCACCTCCGTGACGCATTATCTAAAGATATAGTTTCCCTTGATGGCATCGCCCTGGCCTCCAGCACCACTGTGAGGAATCTTGGAGTTATCTTTGATCAGGACATGTCGTTTAAGTCCCACATTAAGCAAATTTCACCTACCTTTTTTTACCTAATTTCGCCTTTTTTCACCTACGTAATATTGCAAAAATCAGGAACATCCTGTTTAAAAATGATGCAGAAAAACTAGTCCATGCATTTGTTACTTCTAGGCTGGATTACTGCAATTCCTTATTATCAGGCTGCTCGAAAAAGTCCATTAAGACAGCTGATCCAGAATGCTGCAGCACGTGTTCTGACAGGAACCAGGAAAAGAGATCAAACTTCTCCTGTCTTAGCTTCTCTGCATTGGCTTCCAGTAAAATCCAGAATAGAATTTAAAATCATTCTTCTTACCTACAAAGCTCTTAATGGTCAGGCACCATCTTATCTTAAAGAGCTCATAGTACCTTACTACCCCACCAGAGCACTGCGCTCCCAGAATGCAGGGCTACTTGTGGTTCCTAGAGTCTCCAAAAGTAGACTAGGAGCCAGAGCGTTCAGCTATCAAGCTCCTCTCCTGTGGAACCAGGTTCCAGTTTGGGTTCAGGAGGCAGACACCATCTCCACATTTAAGAGTAGGCTTAAGACTTTCCTCTTTGATAAAGCTTATAGTTAGGGCTGGCTCAGGTAGTCCTGAACCATCCCTTAGTTATGCTGCTATAGGCCTAGACTGCCGGGGGATTTCCCATGATGCACTGAGCTCCTCTCTCCTCTACTTTCTCTCCCTCTGTATGCAACCTCATCCCATTATTGCATGTTACTAACACAACTGCTCCCCTTTCCGGTAGTCTTGTGCTTTCTCGTCCCTCTCCTCTCTCCTCCTATCACTTCCTGCAGGTGTTTCTGGCTCTGGAGCTGTGGAGTCTGGATCTGTGGTTGCGGGTCACCTGCTGCCCCCGTGTTCCTGCTCGACACCCTCTGCTGCAACGACTATTGTTACTAGTCCTGTTGTTATTATTGTTATTATAATCATTAACATTACGATTGTTACAATTAACACTGCTATAAATATCTGTACCATTTTTCATTTAGTCTATAGCAACATCACCTTTACTGTCTGTACCTCTGTGTGTATATTGTGTAGGCTGCCTCCCTCCCCTCTCTCTCTCTCTCTCTCTCTCTCTCTCTCTCTCTCTCCTTCCATTCCCCTCTCCCTCCCCCCCCCCCCCCCCCCCCCCCCTTGCCTCTGTCGCCTAGTGCTTGCTCTTGGTGGGAACTGTTGGGCTTCTGTAAATAGCATCACAGAGTACGGTCTAGACCTGCTCTTTTATGAAAATCGCTGTGAGATAACTGTTGTTGTGATTTGGCGCTATATAAATAAAATTGAATTGAACTCTAATTGTAAATGATTATGTGGGCGTGTTAATCCCTTCTTGTCTGAGAAGGACTTTGGTGCTAGCTAGCTTTTAAAACCGATCACATTTTAGCTTCCGTTAAAAATTTGTCTGGCGAGTATTGCATCATCTGATCGGCTATTCTCATCGGCCTTTTTAGCGACCACCGATCAAACTAGTTAAAGCCATTATCGGCTGATTATGATCGGTGACCGATCGATCGGAGCACCCTTAGCTGATCCACTTTTACACAGCCATCATCCAGTCTGTTCTCTGCACGTCCATCACTGTCTGGTTTGGATCTGCCACCAAAAAGGACAGGAGCAGACTTCAACGGACAGTCAGGACTGCAGAAAAGATCATCAGTGCAACAGAGCCCTATACGCCAAAACCAACAGACTCAGGAACAGTTTCTTCCCACAATCCATCACTCTGATGAACAGCTGATTTCTGACTCACAGTGTCAAGAACAATTACTGTGCAATAACCCAGTAACTCTGCCTGTAATCAGCACCTGTTTACTGACTAAAACACTATTTATTCACCATTCTCTATTTCAGAGCTGTTCATACTGTTATATTGTCATATTGTAGATATTGTATACCAATCCACCTACCTCAAGACAGTCTACTCCAGAGCAAAATACTTATTTATCTGTCTGTTTTGTTTGTAGTGTGTATATATGTTTTCTATACTGTAGCCTGTGATATAGTTTTATTATTGTATTAGTAAGCACCTGCTTTGCTCCTCTCTCTCCCTCACCGCGCAGCCCCGCCCCCTCCCTCTGCGTCTGCACGCAGCCGTCTACTCACAGTCTCAACAGATGGAGGGAGACACAGTGCTGGTCGACACTGTTAATCTGATGTAACAAATACTTATGTCATGCAATAAAATGCAAATTAATTATTTAAAAATCATACAATGTGATTTTCTGGATTTTTGTTTTAGATTCCGTCTCTCACAGTTGAAGTGTACCTATAATAAAAATTACAGACCTCTACATGCTTTGTAAGTAGGAAAACCTGCAAAATCAGCAGTGTATCAAATACTCCCCACTGTATCTGTCTTTACATTCTGAGTAATGCTGAAACGTTTTAACTTAAATCAAGACAGCTGTTTGTGCATCGCTGGTGTGTGCGTCGCATTGAACATTACGTCGCGGCAGTTGTGTGTGGTGTCACTATAGAAAATGGACGGCCAAACCGAGTTGAGTAGAGTCAAGGCGAAGAGAACTGAGGGAGGCAAATTCAATAAGTGAGTGATACTTAAGATGGAGATTGAAGTATAATTTAAACTGTGTAATAAGAAACAAGTTGAGTCATTAAAAATAGTAAAAACATGCCTGCTAAAACTGCCCCCACTTCCCCAACCCGCTTTACAGAAAATACCAATATATGTTTTATACTGGAATTCAGCCCAACAGTACCGGGATATGACTTTTTGGCCATATCACCCAGCCCTAATCCAGAGTCAGATTTCTCGTATGTGTACCTGGCAAATACAGTTTTGCTAAAAATTGTTCAATGCTACATGCTAATGCTCCACCCAACCAACATAAGCAGAAAAATCCATCCTACCTTCCTGGCCAGCAGACCTTTCCTCCTCATGCCACAAGCCTCCAGCTGAAGTCGTCCTCGCAGGGCCAGTTCTATCAGCATGCAGCCTCTCAGACCTGATGAAATGCAGTCATTCCAGAACGAGGTGTAGCCCTGCATCACGGAAACACACTTCAGAATTATGGTTCGTCGAATGTTTCCATGCAATAGCAACACTCCTGTAAACCAAGTGGGGTCACTGGGCCCAGACTGGCAGGAGTACCAGGGGAATTCTAGATGGTCAAGCCGATTGGGCCAGTAAGTAAGGACAAAGTAAACATGCAAAATGAAAACAGGTAACCTAAATCAGAAAGAACGTTTACACATACTTTTAGTCACAAATGTTTTAAACACCTTCAGATGCCACACTTGGCCCAAACCTTCCATTCTGACAACATCCCCTTTGTATATGTTCCTTCAGGCGTCTGACTACAGAGTGAATATTAAAATGGAGACACCCTACTTCAAGTCAGAAGGCAAGTCATGGCCCTTAGTAAAAGGCCATGATCTTTGATACTGACAAACGGCTAATAAGTTGGGCAGTATATGAAAGCAGTAAGTGACATAGCTTATTGTCACATTTGTTCTCAAATCCAGAAGCAATGCCACAGTACTTTTAGGCTGTTTCTGGGTCGAGTTAAAAAGAAAAGTTAGCGACAGCTTTACAGAAGCAAATTTTGAACACGTTACATAGTTTAGACAGCCAACCAGCATCTATCTTGTTCATTTACAATCCGGCGGCTGTCAAATTAGCTGTTAAGTGTCCGAACAGGAAAAATGCTATAGACCTCTCTATATGTCAGCTGTTGGGCTCATTACACTTACTATCACTGTCTTGTAAAGGCTCATTTGTATTCCTGTAATTGTGCATGGGGTCATTGCATTACTTACAGAATATAAAATTATATAAAATATTTCTAGCATTTACTGTACTGGTTTAGCGGACCAGGAAACTCACAGACCAATCGCATGCGCTTCAATCGTCTCATGTTACGCTGCTCAGCCAATCAAATCTGTGCATTCCGATGCTTGAGAGTCGAGTCCGCAAGATTCACCAGAGACGTTTTGGAAACACACGAATTGAGGAGACGAAAGGGAAAAGAGATTTCACATGGCTTTTAATCAAGAATGTACAGATTTTTACATGGATATTCCTCCCACGGGCAGTTCAGAACCAGAATATCTCATAGATCTCCAATGTCAGCTGGCAAGAGAAACTAGAGCTCATGTTTCTCACTGAACAAAAGAAATTAGGAGTGGTAGCTCTGTAAGAGGGAATGAAAGAGAAGAGGAGGCATTACAGCTGTTCAGTTGTTATGTGTTGAGTGTTTATTATAAAATTGGTTAAGACTACACTTCATCACTTCAAGATACACTTTTTATTTCATTTTCTCTAAAAATTAGGCACTTTATTTAGTTTACTTAAATTTAGAATTTATTATTTATTATCCCTCCAGTTTGATGTACAAACTGATTTGACAGTCTGTTGTTGACTAAAAACATAAGTTGATACAACTATATGTTATTATGGTACTGAAAGATAACGCAAGTTAGTTGTTTTGCTGTTCCGGACCTTTGCTTTGGGAAATTTTCTCTAACTGGACCTCTTTGAATTCTAATTGAATACCCCTGATCTAAGGTATTGCATGTTTATGCAAACAAAAAGTTAATGTGATTTGTGGTTTTCAGTATAAAACTTGTTGAAATTGTTTAAGTGTGTACATTTTCGGCACATTTTTATAGGGCTGAAACGATTCATCGATTAATAAAATGCATCGACGCTTCGTTTAATCCATGCCACTTTACAGCAGTGTTTCGCAGGGACATTTATTACGCACATCTCGCTTACGCTGTGAACACGACGTGATTATAATGCCGCTGTTTGCAAAGTGGAGGAAGAGAGAGAAAACAGCGAGGGACAAAGAAGAAAGTGTCCAAAGTCTGGGATTATTTCAAACTAGAGAAAACAACAACTCTGTAATGTTACCGTCCGTCCACCGTAAAATGAAACTTATGTCGCCACGGCAACAGCCCGACGGCAACTGAACAAAAAGCAGCCGGTGTTCTGCCAGCAGACCACAGACAAAGTAACAGTTGCAGCAACTTTAGCATTTCACTGAAATCACGATTGATTGTTGAGTTGAAGCCAAAGTAAGCCGCAGTCCTCAGCTGAAAACGTGTACACGTGTGTTTGTTGTTCTCCTTTTGGGCCGTAACCTCACAGTCAGGAGATAACTGGGTGTCGGGAGCTGCACCTTTTTAACTCACCTGCAGTTCTCTCTGCAGGATCACTCATTTCACATTTGTCACAAACGTGGTTTGGAGACCAGCGTCGGGTGACTTAGCCGTCAGCTCGTGTGTGTGTGTGTGTGTGTCCCTGTCACCGATCAGTCACGTAGTGTGAACGCCACAACGACTTCAAGACTGCCGTCATGACGGCAAGTTGTGTGAACGGCACGGCCATCGGCCGACGCTGAAAGTCGTGTAGTCTGCAGTGATGTTTGTGTTTGTAAAGCAGCTGTCTAGTTGTTGGTCTGATGTTTGCTGTATGACACACTATGAATTTCCGAAGAAGGAATAATAAATATCCTATCTCCTATAAAAGTGCACAGCTGATTGGCTTAGGAAAGACAGGTGACCAAGAACCTCAGTGGTACGCCACTACTAAAATTTCACACAATCATTATTATATCATACACTACGCGAGTACGGTAACACTCATCGCTTTGCTCGCTTCCTCTGCTCATTCTTAAAAGGACATCTACGTGACAGATGCAGTTATAACAGCAACGAAACTCAGAATCGGAGGTGCGTAGCGAATGTTCGATTGTCTGAGTGGTACAAAGTGACGGTGAACGCAAGCGGAGGGAAATATTCAGACAAGAAATGTAGGCCTATGTGTCGGTCACGGTGTGTTAGATTGTCAAGACCAAGAGAAGTCTGTCTGTTGTTTCTGTCCCTCCCCAGTAGACTGATCTTTGGGTGTTGCTCACTGAAACACCGTCACCTGCCTGACCATGACTACCACGACCTCTACCAAAATACTCATCTAAAAGTTTAAGCTATTCTAATGTGCATCTCATGCTTAAGGACACAAGAGAAATGCTGTTGAGACATACTTTGCACAAAATTTTCTTTTGCTTCACCTCCGCTGCTACAACTCCATCCTAGGGGAAACACAGTACAGTTCTGCACACAATTTGACCAATACCTGGATTAATTTAGCCCTCAAGATTAATTTGATAGATGAAGTATGTTTTGCAGTAATTTCTTCAATGTTTGATTTTACTGTCACTACAGGCATCTTTTTCCTGTCTTGGTTTAGATTTAAATGGTGAACATCACTGTCAGTCTATTTATTTTTTTTAGAAAAACTTTGACCTTTTGTGCTTTATAATCATACGTAATTGAAAATGTGTGCGAGCATGGCCTGGACGAGCCTTCAACACTGAATTTGGACTCCATCTGTGCCACTATGAGGCTAAAAGCCGAGGCCCATCCACACTACTATGTTTTAGTTTACAGATGGAGAATTAAACCAAATACGATCTCCATCCACAGCAGAGTTTTAGCTGAGAGTTGATCTCCATCTACATTAAAAGGACTGAAAACGCAGATCTAGTGGCCCTTCAGGTACACTGGGCATGCCCGTGCCGGTGTAAACATGAAGATGATCTCTTCTGTATTAACAGAAGATTTGGCGAAAGAATAAAGAAATGCAGACAAAGAATCAGATCAGACTTCACAGTAGTGAATATTTTAATAAAAATACCATGTCTAAAACTCTGTCAGCAGCATCGTGTTTCTGCTTTGCATGACTTATAAGACCCAATCAGAGAGCCGAGTGTGAGCGTCTGCGTCATCGTTTCTAAAGTCCTCCGTTTTTGCCCGTCTTCACTAAAACCCCTCCGGAGTTTCGAAACGGGGTCAACAGCATTTCCAAACTTCTCCGTTTTAGGCCTTCGTTTTTAATAAAAAAATGCAGTAGTGTGGATGGAGCCCAAGAGCTTCTTTGAAATTGCCCCGTGTTTGTTTTATGGTGCTTTCAAACCAAAAGCGAAGTGAGCGTTCGGGGTGCTGAGTTTACATATAAAGTCAAGGCAAAGACGCGAAGAGCCGCGATTTCCTGTCCGGCGAAAAAACAAAACGAACGAACTCGCGTGACTTGAATATTTTCAACTCAAGCGAGTTGAAAATGACGCTGAGTTGCGATAGCCTATCAACTTTGAGATTGTCCGTACGTCACCGAGGCTTCAGAGCGTTGTGTGGAGAGGGCCAGGCAGAGCGGGCGATTGAAAATCTGCTGGCCGGCGGAGAGCTGCTGAACTTCGGGGAGAGGAGCAGGGAGCAGCGCTCCAGCTTCAGACAAATAAAGACCCGTGGTCGGACAGGACTTTGCTCGCAACTACGGCCTTTGCTCGAGGGAGGAGCTTGGAGCAATTTAATAATTGCTTTTATTAAATTAGCTTTTTACTTTAGTTTTTGGGATTTCAACGTTGATTTATCTTCACTGGAGCTTCTCAGCAGCTTCCGTGCACATCCGGTTCCAGGGTTGTTGTTAGCTCTGTCGGACTACGACTTCATATTTATATAAAGACCGGACAAAACTGGACATTACTTGGAGAAAAGAAACTTTATTCCAGCTATCATTGTACTTTACTGTGACTAACTTAGCATAGCATAGCCCTGATCGATCCAAACTCCATTCAGAAAACAAACATTTTAGAAGTTGTTGTCCTGCTGTCTTGCTGACAGATCTGACAAAGCATGAATTCATATGTTTAACAAATCTGCATCATGTTGTAGTTATTCAGCATCAGTTTAATCTGTTTATTGCTATTTAATCACAGCAAAATGTTTTCTTTGGGTTCATACAGTTGTAGTAATGGCAAGTTGTGTTTATTCACGTTAAAATCGCCTTCTCGCATTGTGTGTGAACACTTGCAGCGAATGTGCTCACGCGAGGAAAGTGTCACGAGGCGAAAATTCGCGTTTGGTCAGAAAGCACAGTTAGAATTATTGGGTGGTGGATTCAAATTGTTGTCCCACTGTTCATAATCCCTAATGGCGGGCCTGGATAGGTATACATCGTTATGATGTGCAGCATCAGGACTTCTATCTCGAGTACTCTATCAGTGTTGATTGTAAGCTTGACATGACTCAGGATTAATTACAATATTTTGACAATGATCCAAACATTTCTAACCCCCCATTGGTAATTTGCAGTAAACCTGTCATGATTTGTTTTGAAAGAAAATGACCAGCAATCTGTTGAAGCTTCCAGACGAGTCAGTCTGTGCAGATCTCTCTCTATCTAGATAGATAATACCAATTTGGCAGTTAGGGAAACTCAGGTCCAGATGAAAAACCACTATGCCTAGAGCTTTCAAATCTGGACTAGATTATGAGACACTAACGTGTCTTTAAAACATAGTTTCAGATTTGTGAAACTTTTATTCTATTTTGTTACATATAACTCAATTAAAATTATTTAATTTTCACAAATACAATAAAAGGTTTCACAAATCTGAAACTATGTTTTAAAGAAACTATAGCCTTTCCGGGACAATCTAAATGTCTGGATTTAACAGCTCTAGGCATAGTAGTTTTTGATCTGGGCCTGAGTTTCCCTTAACTTTCCCCTAACTGCTGAATCGGAAGCATTAGATAGATATCTCTATTCCAATTATAATTACACTTCTATAAACCACTGGGTGCACCAGTGATTATTTAGATGTGGACTATATTGGACTTCACATTTTTTACAAACATTGGTGTTTATTTAGGCTTTAACAAAAAACGTTTTTTTTACTGAACAAATCTTAAACAACTCCACCGGGATTCAACTGGGGGGAAAGCAAGTCACGTTTAACCTGGCCCGGTACCTCCCTCAGTAGTCTAACGTTACTGTTTAGGATCACTGATAAGGTCACTTCACAGCAGCAGATCACAGATCCACAGCGCGACATTATTCTGCACTCCTGGAAACGTAGAGCTGCAGACCATTAACCCGTTTGTTTGAATGTCTGTGACCACAGCATTCTGCTAACTCACTAGTGTAACGATAGGCACAAACGTGACAATGTCCAATTCAATGACCACCACTGTTGCCTGGAGGAAAAGATCGCTTAAAGACATAACCGTGTTTCGGCAAAAGACATTAACCAGCTCGGTGTGCAGCGACGAGGCCCGTTGTTGTTGTTAGCTAAAGCTAGCGTTAGCGTTAGCCAACAACGACGCTAAGGTTAACTAAAGCCATGTCGGTAAGGAAAGAAATAGCCAACATTAGCTTGGGTAACACACCATCGCTAAGTTAGGTTTCATTTTCCTTCATTTTTACAGCGTTATAGATCAGGATTTATCTACTGTTACCTCTCGGTCCTTTAGTCCTAACAACAGCACTTCTTCCATCAAGGTGAGGCGTGTTTCTTTGGAGTCTCCAGTATCGTTATCGTCCTGCTCGTCTCCCCGTCGGGGCTCATGGTCCTCCTCGCCGGACGGATGGTCTTTGTCAGCGGCGTTGCGCGAGGCTTCGGTCCGCCTCTGCACGAGGCCCGAACTCCGCAGAGTCAAGGAAGTCATGTCTGCTGGCAAGTTAGCTACACGACGCGAGAAACAACGCCTCGGACTACTCTGCCCGAGATTATTCCAGTTACTTCTTTTTAACCATATAGCAGTTACCTCCGATGTTTAGCGAGATTACTACTGGGGCCTGAGTACCCTCGTCATCTGGAGTAACTTACTGTTCCCCTTCTTTGACTTCGTCCGCAGCAGGACACTCTCTATCTAATATGGCGCCGTGTGGTGGATGTGGTAACGAAGTTATCCAGCAGGTGGCGACCGAGATTAGATGAATATGAGCAAACAGGCTCCGGCTCCAAGTAACTTTACATTAGATACCAAGGGCGCCACTTTGTGTTGAAAGCATAGATTGTATATAAAAAGGTTGAAAGTGGACATACGGGCTCACATTAGAGGCGTGATGATACATTTGGGTCACGAGAACAAGAAGAGAAGAGATAGAATATTTGATGCGGAAATATATGTTAAAAAGTTTCAAAAAAATTCCTATTTCAAAATTTTGAAAATGACACCTATGGATTATACTGAAGCCCTTGGTTTTTATTCTGTTACCCAACTTAAAGTCACATATTTATAAGGCAGTACCCTAAAAAGAACAATAATCTTGCACCATGAATTTTGACTTTTTGATATCGTGCATTGGAACACTTTTTTTTTTTCAAAATGTCAGGGTGGTAACCTCTAGGCACCTCATTACTATTGCCACCATCAAGTGGCAAATTACAATCTGCTCCAGAAGGAACCGTGTGACTTTGAGCAGGTGTGCCTGATCACTCCCAAGAAAGTTAGATTTCTGTGCAATGCTGGCATAGACTTTGTTTACTTCCGCATCCCCCCCTTTTTGATCATGAGATCCTTCTGACAGGAACCAGAACCAGAGATCATATTTCTCCTGTCTTAACTTCTCTGCACTGGCGTCCTGTAAAATCCACAATAGAATGCAGGGTTACTTGTGGTTCCTAGAGTCTCCAAAAGTAGACTAGGAGCCAGAGCGTTCAGCTATCAAGCTCCTCTCCTGTGGAACCAGGTTCCAGTTTGGGTTCAGGAGGCAGACACCATCTCCACATTTAAGAGTAGGCTTAAGACTTTCCTCTTTGATAAAGCTTATAGTTAGGGCTGGCTCAGGTGAGTCCTGAACCATCCCTTAGTTATGCTGCTATAGGCCTAGACTGCCGGGGGATTTCCCATGATGCACTGAGCTCCTCTCTCTCATTACACCAGTTCATGAGTGCCCCATACCACACGACAACTTTCGTGCTCTGATGTCACCAAGTAGGCTATTCTAGAGCAAAACTGCCAGCAAGTCACACAGACAACAGCAGACGATCATGAGCGCTCAAAACAAACTCACACAGTGTTGATACAGAACTAATGACATATAAAATACAGTCTACATTATTATCTTTCATTCCTAATTTTTATCATTCTCATCAAGTTTAAAGTTTCAACTTACTCTTGTTTAGCAAATATCTCCTTTGTCTTGCTCATGTTGACTGTGAATGATGTAATCTGCTTCCAATAAAGCAGTAGTCATACACTGTTGTTGGGGAATTGGGAATTTTGGGGAATTCCAGAGTTAAAACAAATGTCATGTTTATTGTGAAATGACTCACAAAAGACTTCAAATGAAATAATAAACTCTATATTGATGTAAAAATGTATCTCTACAATAACTAATACCCAATTTCAGTGCTCATGCCTAAACACCAGTGTTAGCTGACAATTACATAAAATATTAAATTACACAATGAAATGACAGGGTGGGCTCTCAGCTAGCTAACATCAGATAGCTCATTTTAAGTGAAAGAAATGCTAATTACAAATCTCTGAATGTAGGAAAGTTAAGTGTATTAAAGCAGCTAGATAGTTAACTATTGACATTAACCTGCTGTGTCTCCATTAGCGTGTGATGCAGACAGACAAGACATTGGTACGGTCCGTTTTAGGGGAGTCTGAAATCGTATTTCAAGATTCTTGAATATAAGGCATGAGTACGGGAAATATATTGTAATATTTACAAATACAGGTAAGAAAGACCCCCCTGAACTGTTGGTTTTGCCTCTTTTGGGGGGGGTGCAAGCCATAACTAGGGGGGGTCAGACCGCCCCGTAATTCAAACCATGCTCTCTCCTCCCCTCCCTCTCCATTTGTATTCATTCTTATCCCATTAATGCATGTTGCCAACTCGACTTCTTCCCTATCCCGTAGTTTTGTGCTTCTGTCTGCGGAGCTGTGGGGTCTGGATCTGTGGTTGCAGGCTTCCAGCTGCCCCCATGTTTGCCACTGCTATTATCATAATTATTAACATAAATATTGACAACATTATTGTTATTTTTATTTTATTGATAGTAGTATGATAACCACAACCATTAACCATTATTATTATTTTACATGTCTTGTGGAACTTGCATTTTGTTACAGTGTGTGCCCCGCTCCAGAGTATAGACAGGTTTCTTGTATACAATCACTACTGGATGCACGTGCAAACGCTTCGGTAGTCGGTCAGAAGTCTGTAGTCAACCCCTGTAATCAACGTAGATTACGCATTGTTTGTAAAGTATTGTTGATTTAATAATAAACTCCCATTTCAGAGTTGGATCTATTTGTTGTGTTTCATTTTGAATATTAATATAACATGCAGGTTAGCGACGCCGGAGGTAATGTTGTTCAAGTCAGCTGCAAGCCAAAAAGCTAAAGGAAGAACGAGGGACAGACGTGTTCAAGTACTGCCATTTGTCCTTTGCTGTGTTTTGCTGTGTCACACTCACAGTTGCAAAGATGCAAGCATCCACTCAGCAGGACAGACTGGCGTTCATCAACGTTTTGTGTTTTGGAAAAGCACTGAATACTTCTTTTCCCAGCAATCAATTACACGGTTAAAAGACGTCTAATAGACATCTAAACAGAGCCCAGATGTGTAGGCTAAAACAGGGCTGAATTTGGGCTGTCAGTGAAAGTTTGGTAGACGTCTAACCATAGCCCAAAAATAGTCTAGTCATCAATTAGACCACCATAGAACGGCTACATATAGACGTGTATTAGATGGTGAAAATGGGTCTATGCTAAAACAAGGTTGAATTTGGGCTGTCAGTGAAAAGTTAATAGACGTCTAACCATAGCCCAAGAATAGACCAAATACACTTTTGAATGACTACATATCTACCTCTAATAGACAACAGAATAGTGGTTCAGAATAGTGATTGTTTTTACTTAAACATAACAGGATCTAATGAATGGTAAAGATTTTATTAAGAAAAAGGATTACAATGTAGACAACTTAAGATAATACAACATGATGAAAATATAAAGGAATTACTGATCAAATATTATTATAAATACAAACAATTTTAACAACATTAATAAAAACATAAATAATAAGAAAATAAATGGGTTGGCTACATCCAAATCTAGATCTTCATCTATGCTGCTACTGGATGCAGCAAGAGCATAAGATGGGTCTCTCGGTTGGCGCCAGTCTCTCGGGTAAACAGGATCCATAACTGTTGAATATGTAAGAATATGAATATAACATATAATTGACTGACAGATGAAAAGACATGACTACTATGATTTTAAATGAAAATATACAGTATATTTCTAATTATCATTTTAATGAAGGTAAAAATTGCCCCGGCCCCTCTGTGTGGAGTTTGCATGTTCTCCCCATGTCTGCGTGGGTTCTCCCCGGGTGCTCCGGCTTCCTCCCACCATCCAAAGACATGCAGGATAGGTTAATTGGTGTCTCTAAATTGTCCTTAGGTGTGAATATGAGTGTGAGTGGTTGTCTGTCTATGTGTGGCCCTGCGATGGACTGGCGTCCTGTCCAGGGTGTACCCCGCCTTTCGCCCGATGTAAGCTGGGATTGGCTCCAGCCCCCCGCGACCCTGTACGCAGGATAAGCGGTTGACGATGGATGGATGGATGACAAAGGTTTAAAAAAAAAAGAACAGAAAATTTCATTTATAATGTTTTTTAATTTTAATTTAAAAGCCCTTATTTATTAACTTACTGACCCATTTACCGCTATAGAAAATATAAAGATACTTGAACAGGACACATGTTTTAGCCATCATGTTGCATTAGAACAACCAAATAGACAATTGGGAAAGCTGCTTTTATTATTTTGAGAGAGCTATGTGCTGTGAATGTAATGTGACTGTATGCTGGATACTTTGCAATAAATACTGTATTTAGTGTCAAAAGTCAAAAACTAATCATAATCATCTAACATTAGTGAGTAAAATATATGTGACTTTCATTACAAAATTATAATAGGTAAGGTTTCACATGTTTCATGTTCACCCCCTTTGAATTCCAATTTGTGTTTCAAACGTTTACTTGCATTTGATGAAATGATATCACGCACCTCAACAGCTGCATGGGTGAAAACTACATGTAACCAATTTGGTCTGAAACAGGGCTACAGCCAAGCCGTTGATATTAGACCACTAATTGCCTCTATTTCGCCGGGTGGGCTAAAAGCAGACTACACGTAGCCTGTCCAAATAAGAGCTAAATCGTGGCTACAGATAGACCATGTCAATTTAATGACACTTAATATCTTTTTGATATTATTGACCATTTCACGTGCTGCCAGGGCAAAACCCCACTTTTAATAATTTTTTACTTATTTGACTAAAAGTGGGCTACAAATAGCCGGTCTGTCTACGAGCTAAATCGTGTCTACGCACAGGCTCCACGTAAATCATGTGAAAGAAATTAAAGTGTCAGCATCCGTAAGTGTGGGTTTATTACAGCAGAGACTTAGCTCTTGTTAAATTGGTCTCCTCTAAAAGTAATTTCATAAATTATGTCTTTAAGCCCTTGGCAATACGTTTCAGACTGTAACAAGCTGTAAAAATTGAATTTCCAGTAACCCTTGTTTTGTTTGTGATTATTACCGGGTTTTAACGTGAGACTAATGAAGCAGTGGTCGGATAGGGGAGCAGAAGATATAAAGCAGTCAGATACTAAATCTTTTACACTGTCAGTGAAAAGTCAATCCTTGATTTAATTGAACCATCCGGCTTAAAACAAGAGAAGTTATTTAAGTTTTTTACGTAGGATGTATAACGCGCCATGGGTCAGACAGATTATGAGAGCTACAGAAACAGACTAAATGAGGGTTATAGTGATTTTTGTTTTGGTTTAAGTTGTTTTAACCCTAGACATTTCCCAGGATAATAAAAGAGAATTGAAATAGAAAGAACGCATAGGATCCAGTGACCCATCTGTGCTCTTT